TCTCCTCCAGCACACTCAAAATTATTTACTAAAGAACACAGAACAGCAATAAAAAAACCTACGAAACAACGAAAACATCGTCATTCTCAAACCAGACAAAGGCTCAGGTGTCGTAATAATGAACCGCCGAGACTACATCTCAAAAATGAAAACCATTCTCGATGATCCAATAAGATTCCAAGTCGATATGTCCAAAAAAGAAGCAACAGCGGCCTTCGAAAATAAAGTAAGCAAGCACCTCAAAGGACTACTTAAAGAAAGGCTAATAGACAACAGCACTTACAACGACCTTAAACCAAGGGGTTCGCGCGTACCATTCATGTACGGTCAACCCAAAGTCCACAAAAGTGATGTACCATTGAGACCTATAATATCAATGGTGAAATCACCATGCCATAAACTGGCCAGATGGTTGGCCCAAAAGCTGGAACCCATCCGAAAAAAGCTGGCAGCTCACAGTATCAAAGATTCCTTCCAGTTTTCACAAGAATTAGATCAACTCGATATTTCAGATAGACTTCTCGTGTCATACGTCTGTTCACTGTTTACCAGCATACCCATCGAAGAAACGGTAAAAATCATATACCAGCAGTCCGAACTGCTCCCTCTTCCAGAAAATGAGCTACGCAAATTGTTATTTCTATGTACAAAGAATATTCAATTCCGATTCAACAATCAGCTGTACCGGCAGATTGACGGGATGGCTATGGGTTCACCTCTGGGTCCTGTTCTTGCTAACTTATTCATGGCTCATCTTGAACAGACTCAAATCAAAGAAGAAATAGAAAGAACCACATATTACTGCAGATATGTCGACGACACGTTTGTGGTCTGCAATGATATAGAACACGCGTCCATAATGTTTGAGAAACTCAATGCGGCCCATCCCAACATCGCATTCACAATTGACTACGAAAGAAACAACCAGTTCCATTTCATAAAAAGAAACTTGGACTGGTCAATACCTACATTATCATAGCTTTTGCCCAACCAGTTACAAACGATGTCTAGTAAAAACGCTCTTCAGCAGAGCCAAAGAAATATGTTCAGAAGACAAGATTGAAGAAGAACTTGAGATCATCGAAAGGAACCTTATCGAGAATGGATATCCTCGAAAGTTCATATTAAAGTATAGAAATGAAGAAGTACACAAACCGAAACCCGACACCGTTGAAAAGAAACCAGTTTTCATCTGTCTAGCGTACAAAGGGGAAGACGTGTCCACAAGAACACAAAAAAGAATCACAGGTGCATTAAAAAGAACGTTTCCAGTCGCCAGACTGATCCTACTTCACAACACTGTGTGCTCGTTAACCCAGTCAAAAGTAGATGAGTACCCTACTCACGTCAACTCCGACTGCATTTACCAATTCACGTGCACCTGCGGAAGCAAGTACATAGGAAGGACTGAGAGGACAGCATCTACTAGATTTTCTGAGCACATTCCTAAGAGTCTCCGTACAAAAGGAAGAAAAGTGTTATCAAGTGCAATCGCCAGACATTTAATTGACACAGGACACAGTAGAAATTAGCCAAGCCTTCAAAATAATCAATACACAAAGAAACCTAACTCTATTTTATTTTATTTTTGTTTTGCCTTTCTGTCAGTATGCCTGTGTGTTTGTCTTGTTACGTAACATTCTATTCAATTTTGACCTTCAAGTTTCTAAACCTACTTAATTGTTTGTCTGTTTAAGTTATAAATGTTACTTCACTATTCACCCCCACCCTCTTAAACTCTCCACCACAAGATGTGTAAATTTACTCTGTTCTCTGACCCTGACCCTGTAATATGCCTCCAACCAATCTGTGTTGTTTTCCAATAGAAATCTGGACTCTTACCCCTCTTATCTAATTCCACTATATATAATTAGTTGTTTTTGACACCGAATAACCTGTCTACCTACATCGAATTCTGGAATTATGTTCCTTATGCCTTCTATCTATAACTCAAAGTAATTATGAAAAAGTATGTTCCAAACATTTTTTAAACTTATAATTTGATTTTGTTTAGGATGTATGCAGTTGATGAGAATCCACGAAATAACACGTGTTTCGTAATATTTTCAACCCCTTCTTCGCCTTGTTTTTTCTCCTTTTATGTTTCTTATCGACACCTTTTGTGTCATCCTACCCATTATTTGTGACCTTGACCTGTATACAATCTGACCTGTATTGTAATTATTCATGCCTTCTTGTATTATATAAAAACTGTGTAGGACAAGTACATGTGTCATCAGAATATCCGAGATGTGTTGCGCCAATACATTACACGTGTCAGATAAACTACATCTTATTGTGTTGTCGAAATTCATAAGGGGAATAATTGCTTTAATGTTCTATATTTATACTCGGTCATTTAGACTCGCAGTATTGAGGCATGTGTGTGTGTGTGACTCACTAGTTTATCTGCACTCTATTTCCAACCACGTAGGTCATTGGTTTGCCCCCACCTCGTTAACCTACCAAGGTTTGGGGAGTCAGATGGTAGTAGTGTTATTAGCCATCATAACCGACTGCAACTGATTGTTGAATAACACACTGAAATACAAATCAAAACTGATATTTGACGTAACTAACTGTGTTATTATCTGTGTAGCTTCTTAATTGTGATCAGGAAAAAAAGTGTACAGCCTAACAGTGGTGAGATTAATTCCCTGTGTTGTAATTCTAAAAATTCCTACTCAGTTGTATAAATTTGAACTTTTTAACTGACACTGTGGCGTGTGCTACTGATAAGATTTATCAGTAGTATATATATAAGATATTCATCGACACCAAAACATCATTTAGCACGGAGACAGATTTGATGTCAGAGAAAGCAAATGATACACCGTTGTGGAGATACATGGCAGACGTGGAAGGGACACAGAGAAACACAATATGAAGGAGGAAGGCCAGAAGTAGCAGGCACAACACAGATGTATGCAAATGGTGCGTTGTAGATAAGGCGTGCATTTTTTTTTATTCCTTTACGTCCCCGGTGGAACATAGGGCTTCAAGCTAGAGGCCTGAAGTTTCGGTAGCAGTGGTGTGTATTTTTACGGGATGCGGTTGCTAGCCAACCTCATGCCCAAACTTCGCACTTCACAAGTCTTATTACTTGCTTAGCGAGTTAAAGGAGTGCGTCGGTGGTCGGGGATCGAACGCCAGACCACATGAGGCGTGTTCAGCGAGCATTCTACCGCTGTGCCACCGACGCAAGGTGTGCATAATTTGGCTATATAAAGATACCTAAATGCAAATAAACATTCCTACCGTTACAATTGTATGTGTATTCATTAGCCTAGTTTATGAATTCCTATAATGATAATATGCGTTAACTCGACGGAGTCACTTTTTTAATCCTTACTGCTTTAATAAATAGGTAGGTGCTGACAACTTGTGTATGTGCACTCGAGATGAGGTTTAATGGGTATAAGTGTCATTGGCACTTTCCACTTTTCCACGATTATCATATCAGCTTTTTTTCATAATCGTTTAATGTGCGTCGGTGGCACAGCGGTTAGGACGTTCGCCAATCATGCACATGGTCCGGGGTTCGATCCCCGGCCGACGCACTCCTTGATATCTATGGTCGGCCTGAATTTGGGCTACCGATATCCATGCTGAAAATGCCATACTTGTACTGAAAATACGGTGTGGAATCAAGCTGTAAATAAAAATAAAATAAAATTAAGTCGAACAATTGCACCTTGGCGTTTGGTGCAGCTTCTGATAGCATGCATACTGACAACTGTGGTCTAGTTGAACTGCATTCTGAGTAGTGTTTTGTGTTAATGCCGGCCTCTATCTCTTTGTATCTAACCAGGGATAGCTAATAATATATGACAGAGCAGCATATATCCCGACCGATTGCCGCTGCTACCTTGATGCAGTGGTGGTCGAGCTTGAATATCACAATCACCCAACCAGCTATACTGTCTGGAACTAATACACTCCTGCAGATTCTGCTGCAATATGAGGAAGATCGTTTGGATGGCCGTTAGACTTAAAAATAGTTACTGTTATAGTGTAAATTCTTTATACTATACTGGGGGGGAGTTGTGGGCGAAGTGGTACTATTAGGGAATAGGGAAATAACCGAAGCAAGGTGTCCCCCCTCTGACGACTGGCAAGTCAGCTGTTCTGCCTTTTTGCTCTGGGGATTAGGTGTTAGCAAAATTCAATCCTGAAGCTATGCGTATACTGGGCTTGAATCTCAGTGAGGATAATCACGACGCCACACTAAAGAGCAAACACATCCAGCGAACAAATCTCAAATAGGCGGGAACACACTTCTTGGATTTGACTGTTAGTCACTATCACCAAATAAATGATTTTGAGTTCTTAATCCTGATATAATATCAAGACATTCGTCCAAGGAGGTCATATATACCAAACAAAAGCTGATTAAAACGGTCAGATATATATGGGTGGGGTGTTAATCGCGATAGATAGATAGACTATATGATAGACAGCTAATCAATATGATGTGACCTTGTCGCGATTATTGGTCAATTTATTGTAACTCTCACCACGTGATGTGAACCAGAATGTTCTTTGTTGTCTGTCACTCTATTTGTGTGTACATGTAATTAATTAACTGTTCATTTTGTTCGTACCCTCAATACTGTTCGGTACGTTTTTGTCCTTTTTTGAATGACAGTGGATTTGTATATTTTTCTTGGTGTAATTGTATGATTTATTTTATGTTTTAGAAACAGATAAAGTTTAAGTCAAGTCACTCTGTTTTTAACTATAGTTAAGCCCAGACTCTGTGTCGTCAGTATTGAGGAAGGACTAAATCTGTAGGCCAAAATAATCCTACACCTGGTGTTATAAGTGCATAGTTTTACTAACTTGCCCATCTTGCGCCTTTCAAAAACATTTGTACATCTCTTCTTCATGTATAAGTTGCTATTCTTTGACATGACTAAAAAGGATACATTGTACTGTTTTTTAATTGTCAATGTAATAACTTTAATCTCTTCCCTATCTAATTTGTTTTTTCTATATAGGATCGTTTATTTTTTGTTATGGAATATGTGAATGGTGGAGATTTAATGTTTCAAATACAACGTGCACGTCGTTTCGATGAAGCTCGTGCAAGATTCTATGCAGCCGAGGTGATCTTAGCTCTTATGTTTCTACATAATCATTATATTGTTTATCGTGATTTAAAACTGGATAATATCCTGTTAGATGCTGAAGGACATTGTAAATTAGCCGACTTTGGGATGTGTAAAGAAGGCATGAAACCGGGGAAGACAACATCAACTTTCTGTGGGACACCGGATTATATTGCACCAGAGGTAGGTAGATTTATTTATGATGTGAATATAATTTTATTTCTGTTGGAGACTTTTTCAGGGATATTTTCTGAGTTTTTTTTGGGCGATTTGCGCTGGAAATGCTATCAAGCTAGATAACCGAACGTCCGTGATTAAATATTAAAGCTTGAAGAGAACAGTGTTCATTCTCACTCATATCCGGAGCTATAAATCTCTCCCATTTATAATTGTTGCTATTTTTTCTTCAGAGAGAAAACGCCAAACTTAATCATAATTACGATTGTAATCGTCTTCACTGGGGGTGGTGGTTGGATCCAAGCTGATCGGAGTACTGCGGTATTTTAAACTACCTCTCAAACAATTTACTTAAGTACAGACATTTAGCTAATTACAACACAGCAGAATCTAATGGCTGTATTGTTTTTATAAGCCGCCTTCGTAACCTAAAGGAAGGCCCTGGGTTCCATCCCCTATGGAGTCGTTATTACGTGTACTGCAGAAGATTCCTAAACTAGGGCAAAGTAACTGTCTAATACTCCAGTGCTCTCAATGGTGGTGGTTCTATAACTGGTGTCAGTTCGTGGTTTAACTCGAAAGCAATCAATTCCATGGGCGAACCAACACTTGGTATATTCGTTTTTTTTTATCCAAATGTGCTTGTTAATTGACCTGAGGATCAATTAGGCTACTGGAAATTCACTTGAATTTTTCGTGACATGGGATAGATAGTTAGTTAGGTATAAAAAAGACAATTTTCAGTGTTTTCTAAGGTCTCTGGGTTTGTGGGTGTGGGGGAGGGAATTTAATAATATCGTGGCTGTTTTGTTTCCACAGACACTGATACACCAGCTAGAGAGCACATTGTATATATTAGACTGACTTCCAGACTTGCAGGTGAAAAACAACAAAAAACTAGCTGAAGAAGAAGAAGAAGAAACGAAGACAGGACTTCACGTGAACATAGAGAAGACGAAGGATGATGGGAGATACCCACGCACCACCAATCTCTGTCAACGGGGGAAATTTGAGAAAAGTCACTTCCTTCACTCATTTAGGAAGCATCGTTTCAACTACAGGCGGTGGAACGGATAGAGATGTTTTAAATCTGAGTCGGAAAAGCGCGAGGTACACCGTCATCACTCTGAAGTCAATCTGGGAATCTTCTGCACTAACTCAGTCAACCAGCATAGAGGAGAAGATTCGGATTGTGTTCAATACAAATGTGAAGTTAGTCAGTCAGTCAGTTCTTCTATATGAGTCAGAGAATTGACCAGCGCGTTACGAGAAAGCATTTCCAACAGGCCACTGCCGACTTTTGATCAACAACTGCCTGCCTCCTTCGTTGGCTGCATATTCAAGATCAGAAAGAATTAACGACAAGAAACTCTCACTGGGAACAAACCAAACAAGAACCGATTGCTCAGCAAATATTCCGTAGAAAATGGAAGTGGATTGAGCGTATACTGAAGAGGAGACCACCGTTGGGTAATACAACGCCCCTAATACAAGCTATTACACTCGAGTGGAACCCGAATGAGACAGAGACGACGAGTAGGGCTGGTGTGGGGGTCTGAGAGTGACTTGCTAGATGGAGATGGGAGATTAGGCGACAATCGTGGGTCCAGCTAAAGAGGATTCCACAGAACAGGACAAAATTGAAACGTTCTTTTGAAGCCCCATATGTTCCACTCAGAAGCCAAGGTGGGGGGAACAATGATAATAATAATAACATTGCTATTGATCCTCCTCCTACCCATTAAAAATAGTATTACTTCCCACTGCTATCACCCGAATTGATTAGCATCATCGGTAACTAATTTTCATCAAATTTGCAGTTGTCATATCTACCCTTTGACGTGAAATTAACGCGTTATCATTTTATTCTACTGTAAAAAAAAAACAACCAATTTTGAATAAATGCAATTAAAGGAATAAAGGAATAATTTAAAGAGTTTGTTACTTGCAGAGTTACCTTGATTGTGTATGATAATAACGACAGATAAATAAGTTCAGTGAATTCAAATTGAATTTTGTAAACTTACCTTGTAGTGTGTGCTGTTCACATGTGAGTTCAATATAATGTTGATTTTTCTTTTTATCCCTTACATTTCGAATGAAACATGCGGTCTCGAGCTTTATAGTTCCGATAACGGGTGGGTGGGGTTGCTAACGTCACCACCACCACCCAACCTTCTTTGTTTATCCTGGCTGACTATGGGTTAGTAAACTAGGTGGAGGAGGTTAAGGTGTGTGTACGTGTGTGTCGTTCGGGAATCGAACCCGGACCAGGTGGAATGTTCTACCATTGAATCACCGACGCATATGAGCTTTTAAACTAGACAACACCATAAATCAGCATTACTTCACATTGTGTTACTTGCACTGTACTACTACTACGCTTCATTCCAAGTGAGAAATAAGATCTCAAGCGGCTGGGGGAGGGGGGTACATCTCCAATTCACTCTCCTCTGTTCTCTATGATCACTTTCACCCGGGCTCCAACTACTATTTCCTTTCAAATGATCTCCCCCATCCCATCGTATGTCATCTTCAGACTCACATCCAGCATATCGGTTTACATTCAACGTGGTCTGGCTGGTCTGTAGTGTCACTCGAAGGTCCCACCACTCACTCCTCACCACATATCTCCAATCCAGCTCTATTTGTTTCTGTTTATTTTTTCGGTTGAGCAATAGATACTCTTGTCTGATTCCCTTTGCTTGCTAGAGTTCACATAGGTCTGACAATTGTAATTCATTCAACTTCAGTAGATACATAAAATGTGTATACACAGGTATTATTGTTCATCCTCCTTTGTGTTTTTTTTCTTTTGTACTAGATTCTAGCTGAATTGGATTATGGTTTCAGTGTTGATTGGTGGGCGTTAGGCGTGTTAATGTATGAAATGATGGCTGGTGCTCCACCATTTGAAGGGGATACAGAACAAGATTTATTCAATGCTATCTCATATGAAGAAGTTACCTATCCACCGAATTTACATCCAGATGCTGTGGATATTTTATCGAAAGTAAGTGTAAATGGTCACGTGTGTGTGTGTTTTTGGTATACAGTCATTTTTTCTATTCCCTTGCGTCTCCGTTGGGGCATAAACTTCAAAGTTCCAGTAGCAGTGGTGTTGATCTCTTACCGGTCGAGGTTCCTAGCCTCACACTCAACCTCCCCTCTTTTCTGCAGTTACCACTGGCTATAAACGCCTTAGGAATGCGTCGTTGGCTGGGAAATCGAATACAATGAGATTTGCTTAAGTGATAGTCTTTTTATGGGAGAACCCCTCAATGATTCATGCATAGTAGACAGACAAGTCGATATAGGCATTGCATTGAAGTGCATTATTTCATTTTGCCAAACGTTAAAAAAGTACACCTCTGAACCCATGATCTCAATTTGCAGGCAATTCTTTTGCTTCATGTAGGGTATGATGACCTCAACCGGTACCTGAATGATAGATTAGGCGAGATACTGGAAGCCGCAGTTTGAAGGCTGCTTCACGTCTAACGGCTAGTACCAAGCTGCAACAAACTCTATCCTCCTAAAAGGACATACAATTTGTCCGCCTGCAGAGTAAAGAGATATGAACAGTGGATAGAAGGTGGGATCTTGAGTCCTAACGTATGTTAGGATGACTCTGTTGTCCATATATATATACTAAGGAGGATGCACCTGTTTGTACCTAACGCGGAAGCACTCTACGGTATTTATTTACATAAAACACAAACTTGATAAATTAATGGGCACAAAAAGATGCGCCATACAAAAATAATAAAATAACAATATATAAAGGAAATAGGGACCGAATGAATGAGGGACGTCACCCAGAAAAGCAAGCAGGAGTACTTGTCAGGATCACTCAACATTCATCACTTTATGTTACTTCCACAAAGAGAGAAAAGAAAGAAGGAAATTGCAGTATGTTCGCCATTGGTTGCTGTGCTCGCCCGCATCTGATGATGATAACTTTTTGAGCCACTGGTCCTCCCAAGCACGGGGTCGTCATGTACTGAGTGATGCCTAGCCTAACACAAATATCCATCATCCCAGCATAGGCTGACCACCTCTCCGCTTTTACCGTTCACTCCCAAGGCTAATGGTGGTGGACAGTGACCACCACCAATACGGGAGCCTAAACCTATTCTCAAACAGCTCAAATAAATGGTCGATAATTGCTTAAATATGTGAAACGTTCCTTCACATTTATCTGTAATTTGTAGTGCACTTCTTAAAACAACGTCTCTCCTTGTTTACTGTTGTCTGCTCTTCTTATTGAAATATACCTATGTGTGTATGTATATATTTTTTATTATAAGTTAACTGTCGTCTTTTTTGTCCCTTTATTTAGTTTTTAGTTAAATCACCGGCTCGTCGACTTGGTTGTGTAGTAGCTGATGGCGGAGAATTGGCTATACAACGACATCCATTTTTCAAAGAAATTGATTGGCAAATCCTAGAAGAACGTAGAGTACGCCCACCATTTCGGCCTAAAGTTCGTTCTAGAATTGATACAAGCAATTTTGACAAGGTATGCCTATGCGCTACTACATTGTTGTACAAATGTTTTCTTTTTTTTTAAAACTGACTACAACATATTTGAAGTAATTTAGGGGATGTTTAGACAGACTAGCACAGTGGAGTTCAGGACAACGCACATTTTGTCCTATTTGTGACCCGTCAGCTAGTGGATGTACCTGCCTGCATTCCCCACTGCGTGATAGTGTGGTGAGAGCTACCTGGCTGCAAGCCAAAAATTGTAGACAGCAATTTACGTCAATGTTCACGTCCCAAATCAGGGTCGTGAGAAAAACAATAAGAAAGCCTAGTCTTGAGGAACTCACCAACCAATCACAGCAGACTTAACGTGTGAGCAAATAGGATTCGCAGATATACAGCTAACTTTCTGAGAAACGGTCACAAGCAGCACAGAATAACCTTCAGCAAGAAAACAATCAATCAGAAGAGGTTGCTTGTTTGCTAACAATAGTGTACATAAAAATCTATAAGTATCTGTTGATTTTCTTAATAAACGGTCTGTTGCCTGGCCCTTGTCTTCCCACTGAGGCTCGAACAACCGTATAGTCATTGCGTTTCAAACGCCAAAGTGTTTTGACGGAGTGTTACTGGTTTCTTGGGGTCGTCTAACTTGACACGAATGCTCTTCCAGAACATACAACACTATTATCTTCTGATCGCTTGAAATTATTTCCCATAAGGAGATAAACACTAAGGTCAAACACAATCAGAACATTCAGTGAAAACAAAATTTATGGTGTAAGAATAAAACGTGTGCACTGTGTGGTGGTAGAGTATAATTCCATTATGGGTAAAATTTGTTTTTGATAAAGTCTCACAGTGTTTGTTATACAGTAATATTTACTGATGACCACATTTCCAGCACAATTTATTACTATTGCTCATAATCATATCAAGGCGCTACTCACACCACTTTCTAACTTCGTTTATATAATTCCATTATTTCCCATTGCTTGATTTGATTGGTAGGCGTCAACCTCTCTCTCTATCTACCATGATTACTTTTTAGAATTTATTTTTCAACATATTTCTTGGGCTATGGGTTTTTCGGTTGGTTGGTTCGTCGCGTGACACAGTTCCTTGTGGTTAATATTTTCTAGCTAGCTGCTGGCTGGTCTTCAGTCTCTACAGTAGAGTAGTCAGTTGTGTTGATGAAGGCTTTCAGAAGGCTGTTAAAAATGCTTTTCTTGACTTGCCATGTCTCTGACACACATATGTATGGAAGAATTGACTTGGCATTGTAGTTCTGAAGATTCACGACACCCCTGTTGCTTCTGTTTTATGCAGTCGATTGTCACACCGATTTCAGAGTATAATATATAGATCTGTTGTGCTCTGTTTATCCTGGCTGGAGACAATCGGTGGCGATATGACTCAAAGTCGGTCTCCATGAATAGTATAGATGCACTCGCTGATTGTGACCTATAGTACCCAGTAAAAAAATTCCATTTTTCTTCCATGTTACTATTCTTTTTGCCTTATATTTTATATATTATGTTCTCTTTTGATGAACCAGCGAGGTGCGCATTCAGTCGGGAGTAGGGATGGATTTCCCATCGATGACATTGGGTGGTGGTCGCGCTAAAAATCACGAATTGGTAGAAGTTAGAATTCATGGGATGGCCATTGAATCGGGTCGGGTCCCAGTTACTGAACTAGCTTGCCTTGTAACCGGAAGGTCTCAGGTTCGAACCCTGGTGGTGGTGAGTGCGTATTGCCGATGATTCCCAAACTTGGCTGTCCAGTACTCCAGTGTTGGGTTTCAATGGTCCTCTGACTGATATCACTCCGTGGTGAAATTTGAAAAACAAATCAAATCCTTACAGAGATCAACTCTTTTGAATCTCTCTTGGCTTGTGTGTTACATGAAGGGAGTATGACGACTGGAACTGCTGCATATCTGTGCAAAGTTCTACGTTGGAACCAGTCACCCGGCTAGTACTAATTATTATTATTATCATTTATTGTTACATCCATTGCCTGTTTGTCTTAATTTCATTTTAGGATTTCACTACTGAAGAACCTGTACTGACTCCATCTGATAATACTTCTGAGTTGGCTGCTATAGCACAAGATGTATTCGCCGATTTCGATTGTATGAATGTTGACTACAGTGTTATGCGTTATCATACTACTCGACCTAGCCAACAGCAACCTTTACAATCTGTGATGACTGGTCTGCATATTTCCAATACGCCGTATATCCCATTGTCGACGTCAACATCCTCATCACCACAAGCTCCACCGTCAGCACCAACACCATCGCCGGCGGCGCAACTATCAACAACATCAACAACAGTAACGACGACATCAACAACATCATCAATATCTTCTAGTAGTGGTGTTGCTTCTGCATCTGAAAGTCATCCAGTGGATAATTTAAATCTAAAGATAATTCCACGCTCAATAATTGGTGGTAGTGGGGGTGGGGGTGGTGGTGGTGAAAGTACAACAGCAACAACAACATCACCGCCAACATCATCATCATCAACAACATTGGGTTGTAATCCTACTAGCAATACTACTTCACGATTGACCATTCCATCTGATTTATCAGTAATGAATCCAATCCCTTCGTCGTCTATGCATAGTGCACCAACTTCACCGACTCGTAGTCATTCCAATATTTCTAGTTATGATGATAAAGTAATGACTAAATGGCTTGCTCATTAAATTGAAATTTAACTCATCAAATGAAATCAATTAATTGATTGACTGACTGACCGATCCACCGATCGATCGGTCGATCGACCGATTTAATGCCAATATATATACACACAATCACAATCTGTCTCTTTATCGATCGATCGGTCTATCTATCCATATATAAATATATGTCATCCAACTACTGTTATTATGACTGTTGTATGAAGTCATTTTGGTTGCCAGTCCCCTTATTTCTTTCCCTTTCTCTAGTCCTGCCCCCCCCACTCATCTCTCCGACGCCGCTGCCGCCTTGCCCCGAACTCTCGAGTACAGAAAACACATATATACATATTTCAGTTGCCTATTTTTGTTCATTCCTACTAGTATATATATACATTGTCGTTGTCGTCGTCAAAGTGGTGGTTGAGTATGTTGACATCGGCGGCGGCGGTGGTGGGGGGTGGGTAAGTTGGCGGGGGAGCGTGATGCATTTCTCTTCAAATGCATTTCAACGTTGATGTGATTCCTTTTCACACATCTTTTACATCTCAACGTACTTATTATGATAATTACTACCCTATAAGTTGAATGCATTTCAGTTGATTATTATTTATTAATATTATTATTATATTGTCACCGATTTGAAACAGAAGTTATTATACTGTAGTCTGTGATTATGATTATTAATATTAATATCGTTATTTCGTTTGATCTCTCTATCTGTCTATCTATCTATCTTTTCTCAGACACACACACACATACACGCAGAGGAGTGGTGAACTTTCTTTTCATCATTTCTATAATATATATATTTGCGTTATTTGTGTCTGTCTGCGTGTGTGTTTGCATTTCCGTGATCAGATGTTTGTTTGTTTGGTTTTTCAATGTAAAATGATTTCTTTTCCTGCATTTAAGCATGTTCTTTCATGTATGACCGTGTATCTTTACGTACATAGACACACGGACGGGAGGAGCGGGGGCGAACAATAATTCTGCATTTAAAGTCAAATGTACCCCCCCGTCCCTCTCTCCATCTTTGTGATTTAGTAACACGTGTATCTGAAGGAAAAACAAGGCTCTTTCACACAATGTTGACTTTCATTCATTCTGTTTTCTTCTTTGTGTTGTGTGTTTTTGTTGCATTTTTGTCCACCTCTCCGTCACCATGGTTACTGTGTGTATGTGTGCGTGCGTGGGAGAAGTGGTGGTGAGTGAATGACTTATAGTCAGTAAAGGTGCATTTCTTTGTTGTTGTTTTTTTGGCTTTTCCTTTTTTGTTTATTTATTTATTTTTAACAAAATTTCCTTTTGCATTTATCTTCAGCCCACCCCACCCCGCCTCCTCCCCTCACCCTTCGTTTGTCGACACTTCGCACACACCCCGATCCTCTTTCAACAACAGTGTGACAACTAGTCAATATTAAGAGCAACAATATATATAAGAATAAAAAGGAGTTTTATTTAGCCTCTGCCAGCTGAGATTTACTTTATTTACTTATTTATTTATTTAGATCTATATATACATACACGCATTTGTGACGACAACACACTCTGATTACTGTTATTATTATTAATATCACTTGTTTATTGTTGCTTTTAATTTTTTTTATATAGCTATGTCTGTGAATGTCTTCTCCCACCCCCACTCCACCCCACCTCACCCTCACACACCTACACACTTACCTTCCTTCTTTACCAAAGATTTCTTTTTCAAAAGTGTCATTTTGTTACTGTCGGTGTTGTTGTCTCTTCTCTTCTCGTTTTCTTCAGCGGAACTGACTATATTCAGATGTATACACCCTGGGTTCTCGTTGCCTATTCTAATAAATAATTGTAATTGTAATGAATATATTGTTTGACAATCCTTCTACTACTTTAGTGAGATATATCTGTACGCCGTGATAGTGTCTGTATATGATGTCATCCTGGTTTCACCACCACCTCCTATCTGGTCTTTAATTAATATATGTGGAGAGAGAGAGGATTATATACACAAAAAGAGTTGTTTGTCGACGGGGTGTTGTACCTGACTATCAATTCTGTTGTCATTTTCATCTACCTACCTGCCTGCCACCCCCAACCCCACCCATCCACTCGGTTGGTCTCTTCTCCTTTTTATCCAATTCTGTTACACCACCCCCCACCTTATCATCATGACATTGAAGATTGAGCATTTATTTATTTCACTTGAAGATGACATACACATTCATACTTTTCACATTCTCCTTCATGTCCTTTGTTAATATTATTTAAATGATGATTGCATCCTCTGCAAGCACATCAATATTATTTTTTACAGCTTATTATTATCATCATTATTAGTAATTTTTAATGCCATCAGTTCATTTTGATTGTGACTGGTGTGTGTTTGTGTGGGTGGGTGGGTGACTGCGTGTGTGCGTGGGTGTGTTGTTGGCGCACACATTTCTACACACACACATGAACAATGTGAGAATGCATTTTTCTTAATAGATTATTGTTTTGTTTTTTTAATTATTGGAAACAATGACGTTTTTTCTCTCATGTTTTCTTCCAATCTTCTCTCTCACTTTGCTTTGGCAACAGTTGCATTTAATGTTGTTTGTGTGACTGTATGGTGTTGTCGTCTTTTTTGCATTTATCATTTTAGTTTTCTTTCTCCAAATCCTGATCTCGTAATTATTGATTTTATGATTTATTATTTTTTTGTTTACCTAATTTTGTTAATCCTTAATATTCATGAAACGGTGTTGATTTTTTTGTCGTCTGTGTGTCTGTCCATCCATCTTTATGCTTGTCTATCTATCTATCTATTTGTTTCTTCGAGTGTTGATTGATTGAATTGCCTAGTTGGATGAATATACATCATCCTGCTGTGTCTAGTTATAGTAATCATCTTTCTTTCCCCTCCTATTTCCACTCTCCCCTCACTCTCTATATATACATATGTATGTATATATAGTGTTTAGAAATAAGAATCTTTATTTATGAAGAACTCTTCGTCATGACAGAACAAAAATTGACGGTGATGTTTGTGAGTACGATGGGTGGGGTGTGTGGTGTGAGGCGTTTTTGGTAAAACAAATAATAAATAATGAAAACGCTATATTTAAATCTCGTGATAATTTTCTGATGTGTATACTCACCAAAATGGTTGATATTAATATGAGAAACAATATAAATATTATACAGATATATATAAATACTAATATACGTATATATATATACGTTTATATATATATGAATATATATATATATATATGGATATACATAACTTTTGGCCGTTTTGTGATTTCTGAATTAATTTTATTTGTATGTATTTATGTGTGTGTATTTCTTTGCTTGATGCTTGTTTGATGCCGCCGACCGGTCTTCTGAATGGTGTCTTCATGTGTGTGTGCATGTGAGCGTATGTTTGAGTGGGGTGTTCCCTGCACCCCACTCAGCCATCCCGAATACTATAATACTTTCGTTGTTTTTCTCTCTCTCTCTACTTTGAGTGATTTCTTTTCTGCTTTTTCTTTCTTCCATTGATTTTGATTTTTTCATTCTTTTTATTCTAAATATAATTAATATTAATAATAATTATAATTGTTATTAATATTACTATTATTATTGTTATTATTATTACTATTACTATCATTATATGAATGATAATTGTGACCAGTAATTGAATATATATCAAAATTATTATTTCGCTTGCTTATGAATAATTGTGAATTTGTGTTCTTGATTCGGCGTTTTTGACAGGTTACGGGATATGATGAGGATAGGAGTGTATCTATCGGAGAGAGTAGTAGCAGAGTGTAGACTGTCAATTGAACTACTTCAGTCAGCACTTTAGGCTTCCGCAGTGCAGTGCAGTTAAGAGGTTGGTTGGTTATGTGTTTGAAATTTCAGTGTGTTGATCTTAGTCTAAACGACCATCATGAAAATATATATTCCAGGAGGTGTGATAAACTCATGCTGGCCTTGTACGCCTAAATATTGGGTTACCGGTTTGAACTTCAACAATAGGTGTAACACACACTGCTAACTATATTACTGTCGGGTGACATTATTTCAAGGTGAATGTGTTGGTCTGTCCACGTCTTATAACATACATCGTTTTACTGGTGGTATCAGTAATAATGTTTGTGAGGTTTCTTTGCGAATTTTTCACGCTTGACTGATAAGAAGACTCTACAAGAGCTGGATCCCGCAAATAATTTATGTCCAATGTCACAAAAACTCATAGACTTAAAGGAGAAAGTCAACAAACTGACGGAGAGCACAGACAGCGAAGACAGGACTTCAGGTGGATGTAGAGAAGACGAAGAGTGATAGAAGATACCCACGCACCACCAACAACAGCAACCAGCACCAATCACTAACTATCAACGGGAGAAATTTGAAAAAAGTCACTTCCTTCACTCATCTATGAAGCATCGTTGCAACTACAGGCGGTGGAACGGATAGAGATGTCTTAAATCTGAGTCGGAAAGGCGCGAGGTACACCTTCATCACTTTGAAGTCAATCTGGAAATCTTCTGCACTAACTCAGTCAGTCAACATAAAGAACAAGATTCGGATTTTTGTTCAACACAAATGTGCAGTCAGTCAGTTCTTCTATATGAGTGAGAGAATTGGCCAGTGCGTTACGAACAGGCAGCTGCAGACTTTTATCAACCGCTGACAACTTCGCTGTCTGGCTGCATACTGAAGACCAAATCGCTAACTGTACTACTGTGGAGTAACAGTATTTCAACGCGAATATATATATATATATATATATAAATACACAGCTATGAAAATAAATTCGCCGAAAAAAGACTTTACTGAACTACTGGTTTTCTCTCTATTAATATTTGAATAAAGCAGGGACAATAGTATTTGCAGAATAAGATGCTACCATGACATTTATTTCGTTGACTTCTCATCAGCTGCATACAGTTTAAGGCACTTATTAAGTTTATGTACAGGACAGTTTTAGCATGCTTGCAAATTTTACATGATGTCAGTTTACAGGAGACTCCAAACTTAATGAGCAGTGCTCCAAAAAGTACAATTGTATAGTTTTTACCCACTGAGTTCAGGTTTAAACAAAAATGAATATCTGCATACAGTGGTAAGGGTGTGGTGAGAGCTGGCTGTTAGCCAAGGTTGGTAGACAGTAATTAACGTCAGTGTTTATGTCCCCAATATTGGTGGTGAGAAAATGAGAACAAAGGCTTTGCGTAGCTGGATACAGTTATCATATGGATGATCTGACACAGACACAAAGAGATGCAAGGTTAACTTTCTGTGAGAAACAACCAATCAAAAGACTGTATTTTATACTAACAATAATGTACATTAAAATCTATAAATATGTGTTGATTTTCCTTAATAAACGATCTGTTGCCTGGCCCTTGTCTTCTGTTGTTACAAGGGGGTTATGTAATAAAGACAAAAGGTTAGTAAGGAATAATTTGAGTGATTTAAGCTGATAACTAATTCTTTCTGAACATATAAGTTGGGTTTCAAGAGTCCGGTAGAGATTGCTTCGGCAAACTTGAGGAGAATTGAACTATTTTGTCTGTTGATAATTTTACAGGAATTCGCCATGTCCACCTCATGATCCGTATCAAGTAGATATCTGGTAATAGCGCTATTATAAGAGTTTGTTCCCTTGAGACGTAGGCTTTTTGGTATTATGTTCAGAAAATCGGAGGTGTGCCCTTTTTCCTAATGTAACCGCTTCCATTTTATATGACAATATCACTTGTCAGGTGATCCACAACCGAGAACTCAGTGAGGTGTTCGAAGTGAATACAGGAGTAAGACAAGGCTCCTTACTATCAATGTTGGTATTCCTAAATGTGGTGAACTGGATCATGCATCAGGCTATGGGTGGCGTGAAGACAGAAACACTCTGGACGACCGATAAGAAGATCTGAATTTTGCGTGTAGATGATTTATGTTTAGTGTTTCACAAACTCGAAGACTCACAGGCGAAATCCAACAAACTGGCTAACTGAAGAGGCTAGCAGGCAGCGAAGATATGACTCCAAGTGAACATAGAGCAGTCAGAGTTGATGAAGATAACCACGCACCAACAGCAACAACAATCATCACCATCAACAGAAGAGATTTGACAGAACTCATTTCTTTTACTCATCTGGGCAGGAAGCACAGTTTCAACCACAGGTATTTGGAACGGATGAAGATGTCAGCCAGAATCGGAAAGGCAAGATATGCCTTCATTAATCTGAAACCAGTTTGGAAGTCTTCTGCACTAACTCAGTCAGCCAGCATGAAGAACAAGATTTGGATTTACAACACAAATTTCAATTCTGTTCTTCTATATAGGTGAGAAACATGGCGCAGCAAGAAAAGCATTGCCACATTACAGCTGCCATTTATAGCTGCATATTCAACATGAGGAAGCCGGGCAGGAAGAATTACATAAATATATATATATATATATATATATTTATATACATAGACAGAGAGACAGACAGAAAAGAAACGATGTGAATTACCCAACCAGGAGCCAGGAAACAGATCGTTTATTAAGGAAATCAAAGCATATTTATATATTCTCATGTACATTATTATAGATTATTTAAGCAAACAAACACCGTCTTCTGATTGGTTGTTTCTCACAGAAAGTTAACATTTCATCTCTTTGTGACTGTTTCTTGAATGTCAGATCATCTATATGTTAACTGTATCCGCCTACGCAAAGTCTGCTGTGGTCGGTTTTTGAATCAGTTTTGTTCATATTTTCTCACGACTAATCTTGAGAACGTGAACATTGACGTAAATTACTGTCTACCAATTTGGCTAATAGATAGCTCTCACCACAATAGCTTCAATGGAACTCAAATGGGAAATAACGGGCGGGTGTTATATCGAGTAGATTGTATGAAATGGTGATGAAAGCTTATAATCAACCGTGGAGCCAGCTAAAAAGACTACAGAAAAGAGATTGAAGATGAAAGTGGAGATGTTCTGCTGAAAGCCTATTCTCTATTAATAATAACTGCATTTACCTATATCACCAACAATAAATACTTTTTGCCACTAGGAAATTCACATCCTGGATTCTGCTGCTAAGTCATCCCATCAACTAAATAACACCATGTTAATCTTCAGAAATCGTTGAAACCTTCTATACATCAAGGTGACACATGTCACCAAAGACTGAATGTTTCAATTTAATAAAATCAGTTGACAGTCAAGGAACTGAGAGAACCTGCTTTGAAAACCAAGGAGTACTGCACAGCTGTTTTGTCCCAGTCTCCAGACTCTCACTCATTAACCTAATCAGGGATTAAACCGGTTGACTGGCATATGTATTCTATTTTTTGAAAATCCACGGTGCATAACGCAACCTCCAACCAATGTCATCGGGAAGGTATCTATAACTAATACTCGACTTGGTGGCATCCACCGCCTGTCAGGATTTCTCACCAGAAATCCATATAACTTTATTCTGTCTGTAATTAATCTCTAGTGAACATTAGATCAATTTGTAATAGTTTTTTTCTCAGAGATTTACTTAACTGATTTCAATTTTGGATCAAGATCTGACGCATCATTTAAACAAAACTTAGAAGTTGAAAAGAAGACAGAGAAGTGTATGAACAATATTTAATTTCTATGTATATTATATATTTGAACAATTATATATATAAATAAATAAACCTTTTAATTAACAAATTTTTTAAGGTAATTTCTTTATTATTTGTTTGGTCCATGATTTGTTTTCCCCGCTTCTCCTTTCCCGGTCATATCGTCGTTACACTTATTCAAGTGTCAATATGTTAGTGTGCATGTACGTGTCTGTTTATGAATATTTGTTTAAATGTATCCCTTGACAATAATTTAATGTGTGTACAAATCAAAAATAATAATGATAATAATATTAATAATAGTCTGAAAATTAAAACAGATTGGATGATTTTAAAACCATATATTTGTGTGTGTGTTCATGTGTATGTGTCTGCCTCACCATCTATCTCTTGATTCGTCCGTCTGTCTGTCTATCTATCGATCCATCTATCTGCCTCTGGCTGTTTATCCTTCGCATTTTTGAGGTAAACCAATAGGGATGAGTACATCAATGTGGTGCTGATTAAGAGTTTGACTTTTAAAATATACAATCGTTAGAAAAACAAGAATATTACTCATCTGGGAAGAAAAATAAAAAAGTAGACGAAAAAAAATAGTTTAGTAATATAATAAAGTAAATAAAGAAATAACTATCTATTACGTAATAAGTATATTTCAGTGCCTTCATGAAATCCTTGACAGTTAAACTGAGTCAGGTAGGAAGATGCAGACTTCCGGGTTGGGGCCCACCCTCGGGACTCTAAGAATCAATGGCTGGAGACCATAGGTGACATGGCTCAAAATCGTTGTCAGTGGCTCAGATGTATTCAGTCTCTGTAATCTTTCATATTCCTTTCTACCATTACTCATTCTGTTTCACTCTTATACTTGTCAAAACTCTATTGATTCTCTTCACTCATCTTCTTGTCTACCTTTGTGTGGTATTTGGAACGTGGCAACTCGAACTGCTGCACTTCGGTGTCAAGTTCTATGTTGAATCCAGGCAGACAGATTTCAGTGCCTCAAAATTGGTTTGCAAATATTTCCAGAAGATGCTTCAAACTGGCAAACACATGATCGACTTCAAATTCGAGGCTTTTAAAAATCAACCATTTCAACTAGTATCATTCATATCTTGTAAATACCGATATCACTATCCGTTATGATTCCAATTTTGATCACGGATTGATATCAAATAGGGGACTACTGACAGCTGTTTCGTCCCAGTGTGAGGCCCATCGACTGTACGCACCCATCAGCAGGGTTCGAACGCAAGACTTTCCAGGTATAAGGCGAGCTCATAGATCATTTAGCCACTTGGACTGAACTCACTGACCAACCCATGAATTCTAATTTCTACCAATTTGTGATACATTTAGCGTAATTGGCATTGGTCAATGAATATCGTCGGTGGTTAGCATTTGTCCTCATTCCCGACCAGGTGGATCCCACTTCAGGCGACGATTTCTCACTAGAACTGCAGGCAACCTTGTACTGCAGCCGGTCACTCAGTGGAGCGGGCATCGGGTTAATTTTGCAAGAGTCTGTGTTGTACGGATTTGCGCTAAAATAATGAGCTGGTCAGTGAGTCAAGTTATAATGGCTGAATAATCTATGAGTTGGGTCTGGTAACCTGGATGTTCTGCTTTCAAAACCTGGAGGTAAGTGTGTAATGATCATGAGTCCTAAACTGGGACGAAACAGCTATCTGGTACTCCTTGGTGTTTTTCAATGGAATGGTTCTCTAACTAATATCACTCTGTGATCCAACTTGAAACTTTGATTGGACACTAGTCAGTAACTAGTATGACGTGTCTAGTCGTTTCTTTGGTGCAGACTGAATTCTATCAGTCAGTTAGGTTGGCAATGTGGCCGCCATGCCACTAGGTAGCACGAAACCTAGGTACAGCCAAGGCTTCCTGTCGATTGCCTCCAACCATCTAATTAATATATCATCAAATCAATGTGCACCGTGATGGCGAGCTACCTAGTGGAATGGTGGCCACATTGCAAACCTGACTGACTAATAGAATTCGATCTTCAGTAAGGAACTAGTGAGTGAAGTAGTGAGCAGCTGTTAAAAACAGTCTGCAGTAGCCTGTTGGGAGTCCTTCTTGTGACACGCCGCTCAAGTTTCTGACTCGTATAGAAGTAACTGACTGACGGACTTCACATTTTTGTTGAACAGAATCCGAATCTTCTTGTTGTTTATGCTGGCTGGCTGAGTTAGTACAGAAGATTTCCAAACTGGTTTCAGGTTGGTAGATGAAGGCGTAACTTGCCCTACCTTTCCTATTCTGGTGGGCTGGCTGGTCGCAACTGACATCTTCGTCAGTGCCGTCCACCTGTGGTTCAAACCATGCTTCCTGGCTAGATAAGTGAAGGAAGTAGCCTCTGTCAAATCCCCTCTGTTGATGGTGACTGGTGGTTATTTTTGTTGTTGGTTGGTTATCTTAATCGCCTCCGTCTTCTCTATGCTGGCCTGAAATCTTTCCTGTCTTCTATACCTGCTAGCCTCTTCTGCAAATTTGTTAATTTTCGTCTGTCAGTCTTCGAGTTTGTGTGACATTAAATGTAAGTCATCCACACGCAAAATCCAGATCTTCTAGAGTCTCGTTATCAGTCCAACATACTCTTGTTTTCTCGCTCTCCACCCACAGTCTGACGCATAATCCAGTCCACTGTAGTTAGGGATTTGGAGTGAATTCATGCCAGTCATTGGATTTTACCATCCCAAGGACCCCAACCAGCAGGGCAGTCTACACCTCCCTATATGGCTGGATCAAACTAACCTGATCCATCCTATGTCAGATAACACTTCCTATTGTCGAGGAAGGCGATGGATGGCTAGGTACGTCCTAACCATCTCAATTGATTGATTTCCCCTCCTTACCTAGCACTCAAATCCTAACCCCTACCAACAGCTGCTCCAATCTATAGCTGTTACCTTGACGTGTTTATCGGAGTTGTCTATAGCAGTGTCCCAGCTACACTAGCTGGAAATAATGTTCCTGCAGACCCCACCATGACAAGAAGGTTGTTATGATGGTGACTGGAATAAAAGCACAGTTACTGGAATAGTCCAAGATATTTTTTTACACTATGCTGGGGGTCGATGGGCAAAGTCGTTCTGCTGGGGAACAGGGAGGTAATAGGAGAGTAAATTGCTTCTCTGAGATGGTCAGCATGCCAACTATGCCGCTCCCCCACTTTGGAGAGAGGGGGTTAGAAAAGGCTGACCCCAGAAATTATACATTCGGACTTACTTTACGGTAGTCCGTAACCTGAGGTAACTTTTTAAGACGGAACCAAACCAAACAGCTGTATGTAACCGGGCCCAAGCACTTGTCCTCTCGGCTCTGCGGTCACGCAACACTAATTCTCTTTCTGTTTAAGATGCCCGAAGAATCAACCAACTTCCATTGATGTGGCCAGCCGAGAAGTAACAACCGCTCACACACTTCCAAAAGCACATGAAACCCTCCTGACCATCATCATCCTTCTCTATCTCTGTCACCGTCGTCATCTTACTTCCCCTACTACTGAACCTAGAGGTCAATGCTCTGCCGAGAAATAACTTCATTCAGTCCTGAATACATCAATCAACAAAGGGTTTTGTCAATCAAGTCGGTGGCACAGCGATTAGGACTCTCGCCGTGGTCTGGGGTTCGATCCCCTGCCGACGCACACCTGATATCAATTGTCGGCCTGCAAAATTTGGGCTACCGATATCACATGCTGAAAGTTCCATACTTGTACCAAAAAATATGGTGTAGAATCAAGCTATAATCAAAAATTAAAAAATAATCTTAAATATAAAAAGATGAAAATTACTCACATATTTAACTTTGATTATTTATCACTAAATGTTGTTGATTATTTTGTTGATAACTGGAACGATGATCATATTGATGTGGATGTGAATGTGACTGAGACTGAGACTGATGAGAAGAATGCGACTGAGCATGAAGATGATGAGAATGAAGATGTTGATGATGATGACTATTGCATCTTTGACGATATCCATCCAATGATGAACGTCTTGACAGGATTTCTTTACACTGACCAGAACAATCACTAGCTGAATCTTGATGTGAAAGGGATAATTCACTAGCACCGGTACGCATACTTTCATAACCACTACTAGATGGTCCTCCACCACCGCCACCGCCACCTCCTCCACTGCCAGTTATATGCATACTACGGCGAGTTGATCGACACACTGAAGCTGATAATTTCCCACTATAGATGAGACAAAAAATGTTAAATAGATTTAAGGTAGAGACAAAGTAGTACAGTAGGGTTAGTGTATGCAAATGAACCAGCAAATCATAACACGCTGACATGTATGTGTGTGTGCGCGTGTGTTCATGTGTGTGAATTAAACTGTGAGTAGTATCTATGATAGAATCAAAATTATCATATCGAAATTATCTACACTTCCAATATTATGCGTGATCCAATCACTACTACCCCCTAAATGACAATCAAGAGAGCAATCTTAAATGCATGACGTCATATACTACCGACTGACTGACTGATTAACTGATATAATTAGTTTGATACCAATGACATCAGATATTAGTGTTTTTAAGAGTTGATCATGGATTGATATCACAACACAGCGTGACCATTTAGATGTAAAATGTAAGATGATGTTGCAGGATTGGACTACACCGACCCCTAGATTAGAAATAGGAAGTGAAGTGGTAGAGTATGTTGACCGCTTCAGTTACTTGGGAAGTACCATCAGCCATCGCCAACGGGTTGGTCTCTGATGAAATCGCAGCACGAATACAGAGGGCTAGTTTCGCAAATGTCAGTTTACTTCCGTCTCTGATGTAGACATGATATCCGGCTATTCACCAAAGGGCGTGTGTACTGCTCAGCAGTCCGCTCCATCCTCCTTTGTGGCTGTGAGACCTGACCATTGAGAATGGAAGACATGAAAAGTCTGGCTAGCTGTCTTCGATCATAGGTGTCTGCGTTCTATCTCCCGTGTGAAGTGGTATAATAAGGTGAGCAACATTGAGGTTAGGCGTCGAGTGGTAGGTAAGGAGGGTAAATCAGTCGACGAAACTGTGAAATTACATCGATTGAGATGGTTGGGACATGTGTTACGTATGCCAAGTCATCGCCTTCCTCGACGGGCAATGTTAGCTGATATAGGATCAGGCTGGAAAAGAGCTAGCGGCGATCAAACCAAAACATGGAACCAGTCAATGAAATCCACAACAATTAGTTTAAGCCGGTTACGTAGGAAGGTGTAGACTTCCTGGTTGGAGTCCTCGGAACGGTAAAAACCAATGGCTGGAAACAATTGGTGACATGGCTCAAAATCGTTCTCAGTGATGGCGCAGATGCATCCACTCCTTGTGACTTATGATTTCCAATGAAACTCTATTGTTCTTCGTTATTACTATTTCTTTGTGTCACACTTCTGTTTACTGTCTCTATTTTGCATTTCTTCTACTTTCTTCTCTTGTTTTGTGTGCTACATGTGGGGAGTGTGGTGACTTGAACTGCCGCATATATGTGCAAAGTTCTATGTCGAAAACAGATAGACAGACAGTGACCATTTATAAATACCAGCTCAATGATGAAATCCTCCAACCAATCAAAGAAAATCCTTACAAACCAAAAGTGATCTGATGCTCACTAGTGACTGGCCCTATTCAGGCAGTTATCTGGTGTTCTAGTGGGAAGCCGTGAACAGTAGGGTACTGTAGGTCGAAGGTAAGGAAAGTTGCCCATGGAAGACGTCGCTATGTGGTCGCACTATTTCATGAATTGTGTGGTAGAAGTTAGAATTCATGAGATGGCCATTGGATCGGGTCTCAGTGGCTTAATGGTCTATGAGCTAGCTCGCCGGCTTTGTAACCAGAAGGTCCTGGATTCTAGCGTTGGCGGTGGATGCGCACTGCTGAGGGGTCCTAAACTAGGCCGACGAAACAGCTGTCCATCACTCTCAATGCTGGTTTTCCAATGGCTCTCTAACTGATATCAACTCATGATGAAATCCTCCAACCCTATACTTTAAAATTTACATATTTGTCATATTTTTTTTCGAAAATATATTAATCAATAACTTACCTGACGGCATTGAATCCTGTAGATGGACTATTCGACAAACTTAAATTTATATCATTTTTCTGGTTTAAAAAAGATCCATTACTTTGCAATGAATAACTATGCGGTATATGTTTATTACAACAATTGATTATCGGTGTTTCAACATTCTCAGTGCAGTGTTGACTCCATAAATGCGAATTAAACTGTCTGGACGCTTGATGATTATGATGGTGGTGACTAGCAGAGAGACGAGAAGAAATACTAGAATGAGGTCGATATCCATGAAGTGGTGGTGGTACTGGTGCTGGTGCTTGTGTTGGTGAAAATGATGTCTGAGAATGAGGGCCAAGCGTAGGAGGAGCAGGAGTTGAAGGAGGAGGAGGAGAAGGAAGTTGACGCTGTTGACGACGTTGCTGATAATCACGAAGATGCTGAGAATGAGGATGACAATGACAGCAATTATCAGTACATGATAAGTTGTTCGGTTTCATATTATTACCCTCCGCAGGCTGATAACCGAATGTTGTTAATTTGACTGGCAGACTCAAAGAATGTAAAATTGGCGAAGGTTTTATTAAACATCTGTCATCATCTCCTTCTTCTTCGTGCTCAACATCACCATTTCTTGTCACACTAATACTACTACTATTATTATCCTCCTCCTTATCTGTAGTTCTTTTCGCCTTCCCTGAATTTCTTTTCTTCTCTTTTCTACGTAGACGAAAATTACGAAATAATGGTAGAGTTAAAAATTTCAAGGATAATTTCGCTTTCAACTTTTCTGTAGGTTTGTCCATCGCCTCCCCTTGTTCTTCTTCATTATTATGGTAAGCGTTAGGCTTGTTAGCACTATAATTTTCATCTGCCTGTGCAATATTTTGATTGTGAGCCAACTTGATCTGTGTTAATTGATCCTGTTGACAGAGTGTAGGCGGATAAAAGGCTTGTTTCGGTGTCATCTCATCCGTTGAATTATTATTATTATTAAAGCATATTTGATTAGGATCATAATGTTGATTCTGATAGTGATAATAATAATATTGATAATATGGGTGATAAGCCGGACTGATCTGGGGATTAATCAATGCCATTTGATTTCTGAGGCCATCCAGTCTTTCACCGACAACATTGTTATCTGTTGTCAGTTGATGCGTGTAAGGATCTGATGCATTAACCGGAGGGGATGTTGCTTGGTAAGTGTACGGTGGGTGAGAATTATTATTATTATTATTACAATTATTGTTATGATTACTAGGAGAGGTGGCTGTCTCCTGAGGCGAAATAAATACCGGTGTAGAATGAGATTGTAGAATTTGACAGATATCATCGGATTTCATTGAATAGAACGGATATACCAGAGGGTTTGTATCATTGTGACTTGATAAAAGAGATGGCGGTGGAACAACTGGAGATGAGCTGTTGACAAAAAAAAACGACGGGATAGAAAAACAAAACAATTATTTTAAAGCATATTCTAATAAGTTAATAAGCATAAATATTTGTGCGAAGTTATATACTACCGACTGTCTGAAATAAGTAGATGCATAGCACTCACATCAACGAGTATTGGTTGTCATTTAGCCGGGTCAACACTCCGGACAGTCGTTTCGAGCGTTTGAAGCTGAGCTCCTCAACCATGTACCTGGATCCACTGGGTTTCTAAACCAGGACCTTCCGGTTACAAGGAAAGCTAGCTCGTATACCATCCAGCCACTGGGACCCAATTCAATGGCCATCTCATGAATTCTAACTTCCACCATTTTGTGACCACCACCCAGTGTCGTCAGTGGGACATCCATCCTCACATTTGACTGAATAGACCTCACTGGTTATGACTTCTCACTAGAACTCCAAGAAACTCCGTCGTGTAGACAGTATAATTTTCAAGAGCTGATATGTAAGGCATACTACCGGTGATTCTCAAACTAGGATGAAGCAGCTGTACAGTACTCCCTGGTTGGTGGTTTTCAATGAATCTGTATCTTTAATCAATCCGCAATCAAACTCAAAAGATAGGATAAATATTCATTTTAAAACATTGCACTACTCGCGAGTAGTTTGTAACTATATTTAAAATAATTAGTTCCCTTTATGAATTTAGATAAAGCAATAAGAAGACGTAACTATATTGTAAAATATTTCGTTGTCCACTAAGTAAAGTTGTGTATTGTGAGGTGTCTAGTCAAATATGATACTCAGCTTCGTGACTGAAATTAACCAGCGTATTCCAGTCAGATTAGATCAGCATATCATCTACGTGAACCACGGTTTTCCATTTTAGGATCCGACTTTTCTATGAAAAATAACTACCTAAATTATCAACCGACAGCTTGTATTATGGTAGAAAACACTAATATTCCTGTTTTAAATGTTTACTTTTAAAGCATGGCAGTGAGCAAGTGAAATAGCAGACATGGTCAAACACATGGCAGGAGAGTCATCATGCATTAGGCAAAGAAAGCTTTACAATTCGTAAAGAAAATATAGTTCCCACTTGGTTATCTATCTCATCCTTCAGAATTCCTTGATCATTAACTAGGTCTCAGCGGTCATAGCATTATGTGTTATATAGACCGTATATCATCACTCTAGACATTATTATATCATTATTATCTCTTTTGAGCTTCAATCGCACGTCTCCATCGCATTCCGCTTTCCGCCAACGTTTTCACCAAACTCCACGTCTGCCCACATGCTTTCATCTCCTCTTCACATCACCTCCTTCTCCATTTCACCCCACCCTCTCAATGATGCCCAACTCGCCACTTCACATTCGGGTTCGACTCGAGCAATGGCTTGACGTGTGATGTCACTTTATGATGGTTTGTTTTCTCAGAGTATGACCAATCCAATCCACCTCCATTTCTTCCTGCAGATTTACTGCACAGTTGGTTTCTGCTGGGTTGGTTCGTTCATTGCCAGAGATCCCTCCCTGGTGCTGATCATTTCTGGCCATCTGATCTTGAGCGAAGTATTGAGCGAAGACACCTGTTGATGAAAGTTTGTAGTTTGTTCGAATTGCCTTTCGTGACATGGCACAGTGACAAGTCTCTGATCCGTATAGTAAGTAGCACTAATTTCACATTGGAGTTTAAAATCCGGATCTTATTTTCATTTTCATGCTGAGTGCTGTTCATCGCCTCTACACAGGCTTGAGAGAAATGAAAGCCTGCCTTTCTTTCCCGATCCTTGCCGCTTTGATATCCTCATCAGTTCCGTCCGCCTGTAGTTGAAACGACGCTTCCTAGGTAGGTGTAAAGGAGATTGCTTCTTTCAGATTTCTGCCATTTATACTGATTGTTTTCTATTGTTTTTGTTGTTACTGTACCCTAACAGTCATAGGTGCCAGTCTTTGTCTTTTGATACTTACGTGGCTCAGCTCAGTGAGGCGGAAGGTACCAAGGACAGATAGACGTATTTAGCATATCATCAGTTGAGTTGTTCATTGTGTCAGTATTATTACACCCACGCATAAGTCCACTCTGTCATATCAACCATCGACGCAATCATGTCAATTGACAACAGGTTCATAACAAATTGGAGACGGAGTTTCTCAGTTCAGTATCAGTCTAACAGTTCGTGATTAATCTTGAAATCGATCAAGTCAGTGGAAATCAAAACATGAATGGATGTGAAGATTACAAAGTGTGACAACGATTTTCATCCGTATCACCAATAGCCTCTAGCCGCTTGTTCTTAGAATCCTGAGGATCCTAAGCAAACCAACTGGATTGATAAGAGTTTTTGGTTTGACCAACCTTAACTCTTTCCACATCCAAACCATATGTCAGCTAACATTGTTAAACAACGAAACTAATGGTTTGGCAACCACACCACCTGTTCTCGCGTACTCAATAGATATAGCTTCTCTTCTTTACTCAGCAACCTACACTTATCTCATTATTACTCACCAATAGTATACCACTCAGCAAGGGAGGCAGAGCACAGACACCTATGATCAGAGACAGCTAGCCATTTCACATGCTCCATTTTCAAACGCCATGTCTCACAACTAACGGCCGAACAGTGCAGTATTCCTCCGATGGATAGCCGGAGATTACATCACTTGATCATTTTTTCGGTTGGACGATTTCATCATTAGCTGACGTCAGTTAAAGAACCATTAGAAGTGGGAGCACTAGACAGCTGTTTCACCGGCCTAATTCGGGACTCTTAAGGCAGCACATACCCACCCCAATGAGGTTAAAACTCAGAACCTTCTGGCTACAAGACGAGCTCATGAATTGGCAGAAGTTAGAATTCATGGGCTGGCCATTCGATTGGGTCCCAGCGGCTTAATGGTCTACGAGCTAGCTCACCTTATAACCAGAAAGTCCTGTGTTCGAACCCTGGAGGTGGGTGCGTACTGATGAAGAGTCCCAAACTAGGCTGACGAAACAGCTGGCTGTCCAGTACTCCCTGGTGGTTTTCCAATGGTTCTCTAAGTGATGTCAGCTCATGATGAAATCCCCCCCCCAACCAATCAAACAAAATCCCTACAAAACCAAAGGTTGAAGGTCATTTTTCCCCGGTTTTTTCACAGGATCTCTCGTTTTATGATTCTGATCAGTGAATGTCTAGGTTGATTATTTTCACCATTGTTAAAGTAGACTGAGTAGGGGAATTTTAATATATATATATAATATTGGTAACCTGTAATTAATTTCAGTTCATATGAGAGATCATTAAAAAAAATTTATTTCCTCTTAAATGACATCAATTAGAGATTAAATATGAACAGTCAGAAAATAATCTTGAGGTTAAGAAACTGTTAATGCTGTGGTGAGAGATGGTTGCTAGCCAAATTGGTTGACAGTAATTGAGGTCAAGGTCAAGATGGACAGGCGGATACAGAACTAACACAGCCACAAGAGATGCAAGGTTAACTTTGTGTGAGAAACAACCAATCAACAGACTGTATTTTCTACTAACATTAACCTACAATAATGTACGTCAAAATCTATAAATATGTGTTGATTTTCCGTAATAAACGTTCTGTTGCCTGGCCCTTGTCTTCTGTTGTTACAATGCTATTTGAAATTTAATGCGTTTCAGACAAAGAATCTGTGTAACCTGTCTGTCTCAGACTACCTCTTTCTCTGTCTCTCTCAAGGGTTGGATTTGTAAAGATTTCAGCCGAATTCAAGTTTAGATCACAAAGTGACCCAACAGTTAGGGGGATTAACAATTAAAAATTAATCCAAAGCTTACTAAAGTTTGAGTATAGGATAGAATTGGGAGATGCTGTGGGGAAGGGTCATATCCACCAAGTTGGATATGGTCATTGACACGCCTCGACGACAACTATGGTTGACAGTGGCACGAGCTCGTGGATCATTTAATTCCGTTTCAGAGGGTTCTCTATGTAACTTGAGCGTCCTATATCCCATATATAATGAGGCGATGAGTGTAACTGCTGTTTTCTAGTACTCTCTGGTTTTTACCAAGACAAGTAACAATTAACTCTGGCGGGCAACGAATCAATCAATAACTTGTCACCGAACTAGCAATGTGAATGAAGATGTCAAAGCCAGAATCGGAAAGGCAGGGCAAGTTACACCTTCATCAAATGACCTGAAACCAGTTTGGAAATCTTCTGCACCAACTCAGTCAGTCAGCCAGCATAAACAACAACAAGATTCGAATTCTGTTCAACACAAATGTGAAGTCAGTCAGTCACTTCTTCTATGCTGGTCAGAAACTTGACTGGCGTGTCACGAAAAGCATTTCCAACAGGCTACTGCAGACTTTTATCAACAGCTGCCACCTCCGCTGACTGGCTCTATAATGAAGATCAAATGGCCAGCCAACCAGCCGGCCGGCCAGAAAGAATTAGCAAGAAGAAACTCTGGCTGGCTGGCTGGTTGGCAACAAACCAACAGGTGAGAGCCGATTGCTCAACAAAGGCATGTGTAGGGGAAAAGTGAGATGGATTGATCGGGCATATGTTGAGGAGGCTGTCGAAAGACATCTCGGCAAATGCAGGCCATCATTCGAGTGGAAGTTGAATGGGAAGCGAGGAATGAGTGGTCAATGCGAGGGTGGCATGGAGGAGATCGTGTGAATTGGAGGAGGAGATGAGAGGTTACGGTCAACCGTTTGGTTAGCCAGCTGAAAAGGACAACAGAAAATAGAAGAAAGTGGAGATGTGTTTTGAAGTCAGCCCTATATTCCACTCGGAAAAAAAGGAAATAATAATGATAATAATATAAATATAATAATTACTTAAATAATAAAATACTCCTCACCTGTACAAGGGAAAAGTCTGTTTATTTTCACATATTTTTGCCATACAACTTGAATTCTTTGATAAACCATTCTGTTTTGTACATTTTAATGAACCGATAGCTGAATCATTCAGTGTTGAAGGTGTCGTTGTGACGATTGTTGTTGCCACTGGTGTCACTCCCGCCATTGTTGTTGAATAAACAGAATAATGTACATCATTATTATTAGTAGTATTATTTTTATCCGCATTATTTAAATATGAATGAATTGTTTGATTTGCAGAATTTAAACAATGATGTTTTGAATTATTAACACTGTGATCACATTTATTATTAGTTGCAGTACACGCCGAACAATTATTGTTCACATTGAAACATTGAACAGATTGATCCGTTGAATATAGCGGGGTAATTGAATTAATCCACTGAGCAACACGAAACAATGAACTGTTACTACTGATATTAGTAGCAGTAGTACTAGCAATAACGCTAGTTACATTATTATTATTATTACCATTTAATACTGATGAAGACACTTCCGGGGATTTTTCAGCATTCCTAATCTTTGATGTTTGTTTTCGTGATTGCGATGCTGTGCGTTGTGTCTTGATTTGTTGCTTTTGACATTGACTAACTGTTGCAATTGATGTCGGTTCATTGAATGAAACGGTACGTTTAATACTACCGCCATCATTATTGTCTGTTGATTTCATACTGTATAAATTAAAACAAATAAAAATAAATAATTTATACAAGAATTCTCTTTTCTAAGTTTGAGCAGAATAACGATGGAGCTCGAAAACGCTGATAATTTTTACTTCCTCAGAAAGAAAATCTGATGGATCACTCATAAGATCGATATATCGTAAAGATACATACAGCGGTCTCTACTTAAACTTCGACAGCTTCTGCCCAGTCACTTACAGACGAACTCTGGTGAAAGCACTTTTCCCCAGAGTGAAAGGAATATGTTCACCTGATAAACTAGACAGTGAACCCAAACCATTTGAGAATTGCTTGAAATAAAATGGTTAGCCAGAAAGTTTCGCTGACAAATATTGGTAAGAATGAAAGTAAGAAACCTGGTGAATCTACCTAGAGTCAGCAAGAAACCAGTTTTCATCAAACTCGACTTCACAAGTAAAAGATTAAGCGCAGCCCTGTCCATGACGTATTCTGCAGCAAAACTAATCTCTCTGCTGCGAACATTCTCCTTGCTGGTGCAGTCAAAGATAGACAAGTATCCCTCGTATGTTACCCCTCATATAACTGTAGATACCATTTCACGTATATCTGCCTGAGAACGTACATTGGAAGAACAGAGAGAACAGTCTGTGTCAGATTCTTCGAACATGAACCAAGGAGCTTCCGGTTAAAGAGGCCAAGTATCACAAACTTTTTAATTATCAAACATCTGACACACACTAGACATCGAGTAGACGCGCTGGCATCAGTTCTTCTTCAGTTTGCTGAAGCTATCGGGATAAAACAACTGACCCATTTGTCCAAAAAAGGAATCTGTCGTTGGACTCCAGTTGCCCAGGTGACTCATTCCTTGATAAACTCCTGGTTTCCTAACTTCATTAACTTATCTTTTCAACGACGCCCCCCCTCCTCACCTCGTTCCTTCTGTTTGACTTCCATAAGAGATAATATTTCTTGACCTTATGAGTTCTACTCACCAAATTACATCATCATCTTTTTATCTGATTTTTTGCACGCCAAATTTTGATCTTCTCTTATCTATGTAATTGTTAGTAATTTTTTGTTACGGGGGGGGGGGGCTATAGCTTACGTTGAGGCTATAGCTATTCATAGACTTAAGCCCCCTCCCTCCTTGTGTGTTCAAAAACAGTTTATTATTTTTCTTATCCTACCCTTGTAATCCTTATTTGATTGGATTACCACACTTTGAGTTAATTATTCTTAAATCTTTTTTTGTCACTCTGTCTAATTTAATTGCCCTTAATTATTTTTTTTCCATATATATCGACTTAATAAGTAAATGTGTGATCATAGAATTCAGTTTATACCAAACAAAGGACTAGACGTGCATGGCACTAATTACTTACTTACTAACTAATGTTCAATCGAAATCTCTAGTATGGTCAGTCTTACAGAGGTACGACGTCCAGTGCTCCATGGTCTTCCAATGTCAGCTTGTGATGGAACTTTTTACCAGTAGGTACGGATGATCTATCTAACTTTGGTCTGGGTACTTCTTTACGTCACTTTTAACAAATCGACCCTGTAGTCGATATAACACAGTCATCTAAAATAAACGCTTTCTTTATTCCTTTGCCTCCTAGGTAGATCATGAGACTTCAAAAGTGTTTTTGAAGTTTCACAAGCTTTGGTGTTGTTCTTCTTTACGGAGTCAGGTTACTGGGTTTAATATCGGCTCGTGAACCAGGTGAGAATCGGAAGTGGATTGGCCAGGTATTGGCTGAACTCAGCTCAACAACCACTTCTGTTGCCAGACATTTAGCAATCAGCCACACCTATTGTGTGTGGTGGCCAGTGATACTGTGGCATAAAGCAAACTAACAGGAAGTGGCAGTCAGTGGCTGGCTGCAGAGGTAGAAGTGTCTACACTCTTCATATCTGGATTCAGTTAACAATACTACCTGACTGCTCAAACCATAGCCAGCAAAGTTAGCTGTCAACCTGTGATCTAGTGGTTGAAGAATCGATTCCCTTAATCAATAACCCACAACTCTACGGATTTGAATATGAACTTCCCGCCTGACTACCAAGAATTCAGTCATTGAACATAAGTAGTAGTTAAACATAACAAAATAGAATATATATGCAAAAATATCATACCTTGATAATGATGAGTTTATTTGATGAGAATTTGCCGAGGTTATCTCATCTCTTGTAGTGCCTACATTTTCATTGATTGTTGAATATTGTTTTAATTCATCATGATTGAATAATGGTGATTTGTTGTTGTTGTTCGTGTTGGAGATGGTGTTGTTGGTGGTGGGGATGGTTGTGCTGGTGATTTTTAAATTTGAAATTAATTCTTCATCTTCATTTAAACAATTTAAATACTGAGAAATTTAAAAAGGAAAGAATTTATTGATTATTTCATATACTAGAAAATTTTTATTGTGAATACTGTAGATCAATAAACAATCGATTGGGCGCCTATTAAAATAAAGTGTTGAACAAGTTGCTAGGATGAATATTTTTTAGTTGATAGAGTGGAATCCACTAGATGCGCTTTTCGCCCCTTTTAGGACTCATCAGCCAGCTTGATGTATCCTTATTCTCCCGTAAGCGATATCCAGTTGGCTGTCAACCAAAGGACATGTATGCTCCTCAGAAGTTCGCCCCGTCCTCATTTATGGTTGTGAACGAGACGTGGCCATTGAAAGTGGAAGATTTGAAAAGTCTGACTACCTGTCTTTGATCATAGACGTCTGCATTCTATCTCCCGTGTTACTTGGTGGTACAATAAGGTGAGCAATATTGAGGTTAGGCCTCGGTTGAGTGCTAGGTAAGGAGGGAGGGGAAATCGGTCAACGAGTCTGTGAAGCAGTTACACCGATTGAGATTGTTGGGACATGCGTTACGCAATGTCAACCGACTAACATGGAATCAGGTTGGAAAAGAGCTAGTTGTTGTGGTCGAACCAGAACATGGCTTCATCAGTCAGTGAAATCTATAAAAGTCAGCTTAAGCCAGCCAGCCAGTCACGTAGGGAGGTGAAGACTTCGTGACCGGTCCTCTGGATGGAAACAACCAATGAGGGCTGGAGACAACTGGTGATATGACTCAAAGTCGTTCTCAATGCTGCACTTCTTTGCGAAGTCCTCTGTTGTAACCAGTCGGTCAAACCTTTCCAACATGTTATTATTGTTGCTTCCCTTAATTCCTAGAGGAACATAGGGCTTCAGCCGCACCCCGCCATCGCGTTTGGTTCTCTACCCACGTTTTCACCTGGCTCCATGTCTCCTCTTCGCATTACCTCCTCCACCATGTGACTCTCACACCGACGACCAACTCGCCGCTTCCTATTCGGGTTACACTCAAGCAATGGCTTGACATGTGCTGTCACTCATTTGATGGTTTGTTTTCTCAGAGTATAGCCAGTCCAATCCACCTCCATTTCTTGCTGCATATTTGTTGCACAATCGGTTCCTGCTGCGTTGGTATGTTTATTGCCAGAGGTCCCTCCCTGTTGCTGATCTTTTCTGGCCGGCCATCTGATCTTGAGTAGTATTGAGCGAAGACAGCTGTTGATAAGGATCTGTAGTTTGTTCGAAGTGCCCCTAATATATATAATTAATAATTGGCATCACAGAGATCACCAGAATATCCACTGTAGGAGCGCTTATTACCAAAAGAGAAATTTCGGTGAGAAATCGTCACAGTGTTATAGACGTCAAGGAGTCGAAAAATAACTATATGGAGAGAATGCAATCTCAGGGTCAGAATTCCAACTTCTGTGATCTGTTGATACAGTGCCACTGAGGATCAGTGATGCCACTCCGTGATGAAGTTAGAAAACATTGGAAACCAAGGAGCAATAGACAACTGTTTCGTCTTAACTTGGGATTCGTCAGCAGTGAACACGGACGACCCATTCCTACAAGGTTTCGAATCCATGATCTGCATTTTACGAGGCTAGGTTCATCAACTGTTCAACCACATAGGCCGGAATTCAATGACGCTCAAGTTATAATTCCCATCAATTCTTGATATACCGCTACGGACAACCAGTGTCCTCAAAGTACATCCACTTCATCGGGAAATGGAGGCACCTGTTGATCGATTTTCACATACTGGACCGAAATACTCGATTACTACTCACATTTACGCTCGCTCCTAGTACGAATGCTTTGACGATGTTCAGAAGGTTAACATTGTGTTTATGTTGGTTAGAAGTGAAACTATGATTATTGAGTTTGAGTCTAAGTGGGGGCTCCACTAGCTGACGAGTGCCGAATTGGACGAAACACACCTCCAGGATTCCAGTGTTAGTCACCATCAACCCAAAATAACATTCTCAAGGAGATATTAACGTAAATAAAAATATAATTTTTGTTGCTTACTTGTGGTACATTTACAACAGACATATAAGATGTTGGAATCATATAATTGTTACACTTTGACGCTTCACGTATTTGTCTACCAATATCAAGTAATACTTCAGTTGGTTTTGTAGATGTATTCACTGAACATGATGTCACGTTGTTGTTGCCGTTGTTATTATCCATGAATTCTGAAAAGAAAACAGGAGAATTTTAGTAGTTGAGTTTTGTAGCCATACAGAAAACTGAAAACTTTTCAACCATCATACTCTTTTGTTCCACTTTCCAATCTTTCCTCTGTAACCATAACCTGAAATTGTTCCGACCTATATCGATAGAATAATTTGTAATCCTCTATAATCTGTCACCTGTTAAATAAATATGTATTACAAGTACGTGTGTGTGTGATCAGAATGTCCGAAGTGTGTTGAGCACGTTTTTGCCAATATAAATGATAAGTGAACAGGCCACATATTTCACAAAACGTTTTTAACTACTTTAACTGCATTTAAGTAGGCAAAATAAAAACGTTAAACAAATTAGTCTGTACCAAAAGAAGGACTAAATGCATGACACTTGTCATTGCACAGTGTCCAATCACAGTATCTACTATAGTCCAACAGGTGGTTGAAGAATACCTTAGTGAAAAATCCTCTGGCTAAAATATTGGGTATGTTGGCTTTGAATCCCAGAACGGACATGAGTTCCTTCAAGATTGCAGATACTACGTCTTGTTGAGGGTTTCGAGGAAATGAAATACATACATGTGTAAACCAGCCTGTCAAGTGTAGACTGGTAGCTTAAAGCTATGATATAAATGAAGTTTTAGAAATGCGAGTAAAATAATCAAAATTAGTGAGCCAATAAAACATCACGTAACCGGATGAGATGTTTGGTAAGGTTATTGTCTAATTTTGCAAAATATATGTGCTAAGCTTAGTTTATAAGGGAGAGAACAAGTGGAATAATGGTGAAAGCCACTCACAATAGTAGTAATAATAATAATAGAAATAATAGTAATATTTAATAATGGTTGTGAACGATTTACATTAAACGACATGAAATAGGATGTTCAAATATATATGGTATTCTGTTGCTAACGCAGTAGTGAACTGTGAGAATAATATTCTGACTCTAGCAACAAACAGAATTTTCAAATAGATATATCGTATTCTGCTGCTAATCCTGGACTGAACTGTGGGAATATGTGAGAGTCATATTACGTTGGAACACATTGCGTGTATCACACTCGTCCCCCCCCCTCCGCGGTCAAATACTTTCGACTGAAGTCGGTTCGATCTTCTTGGTGCTGGAGGCTTTGTTAACTTGTCTTTCTCTATCGAGTTCTGGAGCTCGTCGACGTTCACCCGCTTCTCTTTGTTTACATTTCTGATCTTATATACGTGACCCCATCTCACAGTGACCATGTATGGTCCTTCTTACTTCGGAAGCAGTTTGCGTGACCCTGGCGCGTATTCCCTGATGTTTCGCCTCGCCTTGGCCCGACCTCCTAGCAGCGTTCCGAGTAACAGCCTCTTTGCTAACGGATCTTGAACGCCATTTTGCTGCGCAACAGCCTCGAAGTCTTACAAGAAGATCTATACGTCTCCTTCTTCAGAAACTTCAGGGTATAGGCTTTCCATTTGTTTGCAGGCAGCGACACCAAATGTAACAGCAGAAGGCAAGACACGGGAGCCATGATGTATTATTCCTTAAACAAACCGCTATTTATATAGATACAATTTATATTCGTTAACCAATCACTGAGTGTGTGATTTTGGCTTACATTAAACGACATGAAATAGAATACTCAAATATACATAGTATTTAGTTGCCAATGCAGTATTGAATCGTGGGAATATGCGAGAACAATATTCCGTTGGCGCACACTGTCTGTATCACACCACCACAGTACGACCGCCATGAAATGTTATCGATAGGTGAATGTATACTGTCACATATAGCTCATACTACAAAAGAACAACTATTTAGTGACTCATGATTTTCAGCAGTTCTCAGACTTATTTCAGCAAATTACAACGTGCATTCCCTTTTGATCTGGTATTTCTTACTGTTCTCATATCTTACACTTCTCAACTGTGTATTGTAAAATCTGACCACCACTCATGCAAGTAGTCCAAGGTTCGCCTCCTCCCGGAGGACGTACAGCCATACTTCTCAGCTGGCAGTAAGCCTAGAGAAGAGGGAAGCAACAAAGAATTTCGATAGTCTTTGGACCTGCGAGCTTCTATTCAGAAGGAAATGAAGATAGATCAGCCAGACGCCCCAAGGAGACAATCAAGTGACATTATACACCGCCCAAACTCTCGAATGGAACATAAAGCTTGTAGACAGTCATGGGACCAACCTGCTGAAAAGAGTAACAGAAAACCAAGTGATGCTGAAGCCTAACATTACACTCGGAACACAAGGAATATATAATTAATAGTAATAGAAGGTCGTGGGTGTAAGCCTGGCGGTGGGTGCGTACTGCCGTTGATTCCCAAACTAGGATGAAACATCTGGCTGTCCAGTACTCTCTGGTTGGTTTCCAATGCTCCTCTAACTGATATCAATCCGTGGTCAAACTCTAAAAACAAAACAAATCCAATCCCTACAAACTAACTAAAGAAAATTAATCTGATGCTCTCTAGTGACTACTGGCTACAGGACAGAGTTTCCTGGAGTTCTAGTGAAAAGTCGTGACAAGTGAGGTTCATCCAGTCAAGTATGTGAGTATGGAGTTCTCACCGATGACATTGGTTGGTGCCACCCAAGTCAAATGCATCACGAATTGGTAGAAGTAGTTAGAATTCATGCATGGGCTAGACATTGAGTAGTATACGACCTAGCTTGCCTTGTAATCGGAAGGTCCTGGATTCGAACCCTGGTGGTGAGTGTGTACTGCCGATGATCTCCAAACTAGGCTGTCGAAACGGTTGGCTGCCCAGTACTCCCTGGTTGGTTTTCCGATGGTTCTCTAACTGATATCAATCCATGTTCAAACTCATAAAAACAAAACAAATCTAATCCTTACAAACCAACACTTAGAAAAAATAGTAATAATAAAAACAACAATAATTGTATCAACTCACTTTGATGATTATCATTACTGAGAAATGGATTCGAACAAAATGTTTTTTCATCGAATGAAAATAATTGTGATGGCGTTAAAAAACTTGTTGCTGTTGCTGTTGTAGTTAAACATTCATGTGACAGATTTAAATTTAACTGTCTACTGCTAGAATTTGATTCCTGAAGTGTTTCAGCATCTTCTGTACGCTCTGATATATCTGATAGTGCTCTAGGCACTTTTCTATGCTGATTACTCTCTAGTGTAGAACATGTACTACTATTACTACTACCACTAGAATTACTACTGATAAAATTGTTTTCAGTAGTAGTTGCAGTAGTAGTTGTTGTTGTTGGGTGAGGATGAGGAGGAGCAGTGGTATTTCGTGATTGTTCATTAATTGAATTACTCATATTATGAATATTTATCATATGAGGTATAGGAGATGTTTGTGTTTGTATTGAATTAACAATCTGTAAGAAAGGGAGGAAAAAAAGATGACGGGGAATAATGAAAAAAATAATCATATACTATTATTTTATTCCATTTCTTTCCCAGTGGAACATATGCCTTCAATCCAGAGCTTCGAAGCTTCACTGGCAGTAGTATTTTCACGAGGTGTAATTATCAACCTCACGCCAAACTTTCTGTCTTCATCCGGCTTACTACCACGTTGGCGATGTTAAGGAGGGCGTTGGCAAGGGAAAGAACCCCTGGACCACGAGCATGGTCGGCGGCCATTCAACCTCTAGACCACCAATGCACATATTATGCATACAGGTGATAATATTGACGTTTAAAAACGTCTTTAAAATCTGTCAGCAGGATCGCATCTTAAGGCTTGTGGGATTTTGAGCCATTTTCATGTGCTGTCAGACAATATGTTATGACATTGAACCTTCCTTCGTAAATTCTATTGTAACACCGAGATTGGTGTTCTGCCCACCCCCATATTCTTTTAGTTTATTGATCACCACTGGTATTAGATGGTTACAGGCATTCGGCTACAGGAAGCCTTAAATCTAGGTTTTGTTGTAGTTGGCACTCGTTACCAAGGTGTATCTGCAAAACTTGAAGGAACTTATGTCCCATCTAATGTCAACAATTCAAAGTTCACTGTGATGACGAGCCACCTAATGGCATGATGGCCACATTGCAAACTTGACTGGCTGATAGAATTCAGTCTGCACCAAACAGAGGACTAGACACATTACACTAGTTACTAGCTGGTGTTCACTCAAAGGCACTGATCATCGTTGTTATTTTGACCTTCAATAAGACAGTATTCGTCATTGGCTGGTTAGATTTAATTGCGTCCTGGTGAAAAATTGACGAGCGGGATAAGTCAATAGTAAAATCTCACCAATACAGAAATATAACTGCTTGTTTTCTAGTTCTTAACTTTCGGTCGAAATGCCCGAAGATGACAAGGTGTTCGAGGATAGAGCTGCTGCTATTCTTTTATTCTCCTCTGGCTAGCTAACCAAGCTGGACAGTGTTCCAGAATACATTTGTGGACTTGACTTTGCTTACGGCGGATATACTTTGCTCCACACGAGCAAGTTATTTGATAAATACACATTGAATTGGCCAAAAGCGGTATCTTATCCTTAACGTTACACTGGATTAACTGTCTGCAGGTGAATGTGATACGTAGAGTGGCTGTTGGAAATGTATTCTTCAGACATTTAGAAAGGCGGTTTCTGAGAATTTCCGTTAAGATATCACCTTTGAATTCTAGGTTCATGAAGAGAGTCTTCTTAGGAACAGTTGCGATGTTTGGCGACGGAGACTTCTCTTTCATGTTTTTGTCTATGAATCTTAGTGGATATCCGTTATCTAGTAGGGTTTCACGTAATAAATTTAATTCTCTCTCTACCATGTCTTCCGAGCAGATTTTTCTAATCCTTGAACTTAATGTACGCACCAGGTTTCGCTTTCGGATCAGTGGAGCGAAGCTCTGGAAGTTGATAAATTGCCCCTTCCATGTTGGCTTGCGATATATCGATCTTTGTATCGTTCAGCTGTGTCTTCTGTGAGTTAGTTGCTTCGCCCAAGTACCTAGGGAAAATTTCTATGGTTTGAAATGACTCGACTCCACTCTGATCTAAGTGAAAACGGATAAGTCACTGATGACATCGTCCGCCCCCCATGCAAGTGAAACAGCTGTCCTGTGTTTCGATTAATACAATTTGGCCAGCTGGCATACACTGTCGGCTGATTTGAGTCATATCTGCTTAATCATGTCAGTCTACCAATGAGGAAGTGGCATTTGAAAATTGCAGACATACTGCATCGGTTTTTCAGTGGTAGAATCCCCGCCAGTCACGCAGGTGCCCGGGTTCCATTCCCGACTGGTATGCATCGCCCTTTAGCCTACTATCCTACAGTAACCTCACACAAAAGGGAAGGTTAAGTGCGAGGTTGACAGACCCACTTCATTAAAACTTTGAAACTTAAAGCACCACTTTTTATACTCGAAACTCAATAAATGAAAAAGACAAATTGCTAAACTGAACAGTACTTATAAAGCTATATACTACTGATTGATGGAAATGAGTAGTTGTACACCACTCACACCAGTAGAAGTGAGTGGCTGGATAGCTAGCAAGGAAGTGGAGGGGGGCGGGAGTAGGACTCAACCGCATGACCCATATCTAGCTTCAAATCGATTTTCTGTACTAATCAATCTAAGAAGGTGCAGAAGAACAAGAAAATAACAACAACGCGGTAATAACTTACTGGTTCTTCTTTCAACTGTTCACAAACTTCTTCTGTATTACATATAAATGAAGTTGTAAGATTATCTTGAATTAAATTATGTACACAATTATGATATGACGGTGGAGGTGGAGGTGGAGGCGGAGGTGGTGCAGATGTAGGCGTGGGCGTGGGCGTGGATGTAGATGCAGATGAGCAATTCCTTTCATTCTTTCGTATATTCTCTTCAGAAGGAGTTAAATTCACAAGATTCTGTTCATTATTTGCTGCATTCTGTTTATGTGTCGGAGTCACATGTATTGGCGGCGCCACTGTAGACGTTGGCGTCAGTGAAACATTTGGACCATCAATCCATGTTTCTTCAGTGATTGTAATGTTTGTTGTTCCTCCTGTAGACGACGACAGTGATGTTGGTGATAATGAGGTAGACAACTTTTTAGATCGTCTTAAATTAATTATACGTGGCCATGCTGTAGCATTTGTTCTAGGTATCATACGTTTCACTGTACTTGAATTATTCGAATGACCCGTGTTAACTGATCGATTCTGCAAAATATGAAATAATAATTTGGTTGTTATTACTGTTTAAAACAATCACTTCCCCTTTATGAATTTAGATAAAGCAATAAGAAGACGTAATTTGTCTGAATCGTGTAATGTATGTATTTGAGTGTGACAAACTTCGGACAATCTGATCCAGCACACACGGACTTGTCATAGGAATACATATGAAATTAATAAAGAGTTAAGAGGTGAGAAAATAGACCACTTAGGTCAAGTTAAAAGGCTGCCATATTGAAGGTCAAAATAAAAATGAAGACCACTAAACCAAATATCAGAGGTAATAGTACATCTGCTATGGTATCAAAACAAAATTTACCAAGGAAGGTTTAACGTGATGACAAATTGTTTTTGAATGCATAAAGGTGGAAGTCGTGGATCACTGGATTGGGCTCCAGTGGCTGAATGGTATATGAGCTAGCTTGCCTTCTAACCAGATGGTCCTGGGTTCGAACCCCAATGAGTGCGTGCTGATAGAGCGTCCCAGAGAAGGTGGACGAAACTATCAGGATTTCGACTGGTCCCCTAATTGATGCCAGTTTTTGTGATGTAGTCCTGAAACTGATAAATAGTTGTCCTCCCTGCTTCTCTAACTGATGTCACATCCCTTTTTGCTAACTGAAATGATTTAAATTTATCGATTTATTTTTCTTTTAAAGTACATAATTAATTTCAGGGTAGATCAGAGATTGATATCAGTTAGAGAACCACTGAAAATAATCCAGGGAGTACTGGACAGCTGTGTCGTCCCAGTTTGCGATTCAGCGGCAGTACGCACCCACTACTACGGCTGGAACTCAGAACATTCCGGTTACAAGGCAAGCTAGCTCCTATACCATTTAGCCACAGAGACCCGATTCAATGGCTAGCCCATGCATGAATTCTAACCACTTCTACCATTTCATTATTTTATTTTCTGAATGATATTTCTCAAAATATGGTGAATCAATCAATCTCTCACAACCTTCACAATTTCAAGGTCACTTATTGCAATCGGTACATCAAGACAAGTGTTTATGTGTCCCTGTGTGTTCGTGTGCTTGTGCGTGTTTGAATTCCCTAAAATATGGTTACTAAGCCAAAACTTCACAAAGAAAGAAACGTAATAAAGGATAAATAAAGATATATTCACAGTAGAACCACAGGTGGTAGGTTTAAGGAAAGAAAAAAATATATTTTGACAAAAACGGAAGACATTTTTTATCTATGTGAGATAGTATCTGTCTGTGTTTTCGTTTGTATAACCTCAGTTGTTTTTATTGTTATTCAGATAACTGTATTTAATTTTCATGAAGTGGTTTTTCTAGGGATTCCATTTGCTTCAAGTTAGGCTACGGATTGGTATCAGTTAGAGAACCATAGAAAACCAACCAGGGAGTACTGAACAACCAGCTGTTTCATCCGAGTTCGGGATTCCTAGGCAGTACGCACTCACTGAGTCTCGAATCAAATTCATACAAACCAACTCTTTAAAAATTAGTCTGATCCTCGCTAGTGACTACTGGCTACAGGACAGAGTTTCCTGGAATTAGTTCCAGTGAGAAGTCGTGACCAGTGAGGTCCATCTAGTCGGGAGTGAGGCTGCAGTGCCCATCGATGACGTTGGTTGGTGATGGTCGCGCTAAGAAAATCACGAACTGGTAGAAGCAGTTAGAATTCATGCATGATCTAGCCATTGAATGGGATCCCATTGGCTGAATTGTAAACGATCTTGCATTGTATACTAGGATGAAAGATCTGTCTAGTACTCCCTGGATTGTTTTCAATGGTTCTCTAACTGATATAAGTCCATGGTCTAACCTGAAACTGTAATTAAATTATGACCAACTGGCAGGAAGCCCAAAACCTAGGTTTCGTCCTTGCTGACACTCGTCATCAGACGTTAGTGGCGTCACCACTGAGGTGGGGGGATATGAGTTCATCGGAGATTGCAGATACTATGTCTTACTGACTGGTGATTACTAACAAGTACGAAACCTAGGTCAAGCAGTGCTTCCTTCCTGTCGACTATCATCAACCATCTTACAATCATTTCAGAGAGTGTCTAGTGTGATGGAGAATCACTGAGCTTAGTTGGTGACTACGCTGCACATTTGACTGAACAGCGAATTCAGTCTACACCAACTCAACAAGGACAAGACACAAAAGACATTGATTACTAACCTTATCTAGTGACTAAGCACTAACTAACAAACATGTGTATGTATACTATTCACTACTTCACATTCAAAAACAACTCAGTGGGATACTATTGTATAAAAGTGTATTCAATTCCTTGAGTCTTATTGCCATGGATACAGTTTATAGCTCACAGTTCATTTTTTTTCAAGGGTAACGGTTTTTGCGAAAAATTTGAAAAATAATAAACAGACGAACGAACAAAACCAAAACACGTACAAACTTGTAACAAATTTTCTCAACATTATCGTTGGAATAATAATAATAGTAATTATTATTATTATTATTATTATTATTATACTAATAAATTTGTGTTTCAGGCTTGATCGCGAGTTGACGCCAGTTAGAGAGAGAGAGAACCATTGGGAAACCATCTAGGGAGTACTGGACACCTGCTTCATCCTGATGCTTGAGACTGTTCATCAGCGCGCACACACACACCGCCAGGTTTCGAACCTATGGCCTTCCGGTTATAAGGGTGAAATTGCTAACCTTGTGGTGAGAGCTGTCTACTAGCCAAATTGGTAGACAGTAATTTACGTCAATATTTACGTTCCCAAGATTTGTCGTGAGAAAATGTGAACAAAGATTGATTCAAAACCGACCACAGCAGACTTTGCGTAGGTGGATGCAGTTAACATATAGAGGATTTGACATTCAAGAAACAGTCACAAATAGATGAAAGATTAACTTTACGTGAGAAACAACCAATCGGAATACTGTGTTTGCTTGCTTAAATATCCATAGTAATGTACATGAAAATATATAAATATGCGTTGATTTCCTTAATAAATGATCTGTTGCCTGACTCTTGCCTTCTGTCGTTACAACCTCACACCCAACCTTCTCTGTTTATTGACTTCAGCGAATTTTAATAATATGTGGGTCACTCGGTAGTCGAACCTGGATCACATTCGTGGTTAGAGAACACTGTGACGTCGAATTACCGATGCAATCAATCTTCCTTTCTTCACAGTTCTTCGGTAAAAGGCATTAATGATGTCTGTATACAATGAGATCTGCAATAAGAATAGACAGATCCAGGAAGTGTTACAAACAATTATTTTTTGGTGGGGTGGGGAAGGTGGTACTTGAAATAGAATGGAGAATTAGTGTTTCATGAGCGCATAGTCCAGTAGACAACTGCTATCTGAATTAAGTATAATGAAGAAATTGGTTCGAAAATCCCTCTTGGACAATCCGTTTACCATATTGTCACTTATTTAGGCGTTTCAACTAACTGTGTAATCATTGTACGCTTTTCCCCTTAAACTGTGTGTGTATCATCAATTTGACATTTGCACATCACATATTGATTTTGACCTTTATTATTTAATTGGTTGGAGGATTTCATCATGAGTTGACATCGATTGGAGAACCATTGGAAAACAACTGGAAGTACTCGACAGCTGTTTCTTCCTAGTATCTGGGACTCTTCATCAGTACGCACCCACCGCCTTCAAGGCTAGAACTCAGGACCTTCTGGTTACAAGGCCAGTGAGCTAGCTTGTGGACCACTAAGCCACTGGGACCCGATCCAATGGCCATCCCATGAATTCTAACTTCTCCCAATTCATGAAATAGCGCGACCATTTAGCAATGTCTTCTTCGATGAGTGACTGTCCTCACATTCGACCTGCTGTACCCTATTGGTCGCGGCTTCCCAGGTAACTGCCTTTTGTCATTGTTTAATCTTTAATCGTTTGTGATTGTGTGTACATTGACAATGTGTTGTCTAACGATATAGGTTTGTTTGAACTGTCTGCTGGAAGCGTTGGTGTCTGATTCACTGTGTACAGAGCTCTTGATCCCAACGAGTTGGGAATATTCTCTTGTCGATTCTAAGGTGTCTTTTACAGTTGAACTTTGGTTAACACTAATTTAGTCTCACAGTACTTGTTTTGTATTTAGAAACCTACACTGCCTGTATAGCTGCATGCCTCAAGGTACTGCTGAGGTAAATTTGAGTTGGATGTCATTATTGTTTAATAGAACCACTAAAATATTGGAGAATAATCGTCTTTTCCCTGCCTTTAGAACATTTCTTGCTAGCGCGTGTCTCAACGAAGTTTTGTTAGCTATACAGTAAAACATAGAGATCGGCTCCTTGCGTTCAGACTATAACCGGCTACAAACCACTGTACGGTAAGTCGAGATGCACAGTTTTCGGGGTCAAGCTTTTCTAACCCACCGCGTCTTCGGAATGAAGAGGCAGAAACATAGCTGGCTGACATACTTGCCATTTGAGGAAAACATCTTACTACTGTTACGTCCTTGTTCCTAAGCGGTACAACGTTGCCCACAGACCACCCTCCAGTATGGTGTAAATATCTTACACTATGCCGATAACTGCTTTTAGTCTTATCGTTATCCTAACAACTTTCATGGAATTGTAAGACCTCTAGGAACATTAGTTGTCATTGGATAATGGCGATGTGCAAGCCTGACCACCATGTCAAGGTTGCAGGGTTAAAAATGAAACTTGACCATAGTTACCAATATTGACAACATAATACTCTACTCTAAAGCGATAAAAACTTACATGATTGCCTGAATGCTGTCTTTTCATTATCGATTGTTCATCATCCTTCATCATCATCACCACTGATTCAGTTGATCCTCTATGACTTCGATAATTTACACTATGAACATCAACACTCCCATCAGCTAATCCTCTTGGACCCAGTTCATTTATCGACAGTTGACTACCATCACTATAACGATGTGTAGGCTTTAGTGAAGTTTTATTATCACCAACATAAATCACTGTGTCGCATGTTTGTTCACCACTTGATGTACAGTCAACTTCTGAACTACACGATGATCCCAATGATCTGGCGTAAGACAGTCGACCAAGTCTTGGTCTACGTGAATACGTGAATGATCTACGTGCGCGAATATATCCTGTTTCTGTATCAATTGATGAAGAACCCGTGTCATCTTGACTACGATCTGAGTTATGATGCATTGATAGATTATTGTTATTATTATTGCTGTTGTCATTATCTTTGCATGATATTGTACCAGTATGACTGATGCCAACTTTACGACGTCGAAGTCGATTGATTTCCGCTGCAAGTTGAATTACCTGTAAAAAAAATTCAAAAGTTATATGTAAATATTTAGAAGAAACCATAATTATACTATTTGATACATAATTATGCGTTGGAGGTGAAGCGGTTAGGACGCTCGTCGAGCATGCACATGGTCTGGGGTTCGATCCCCGGCCGACGCATTCCTTTACCTCGCTAAGCCAGAAATAATGCTGGTAAAGAGGAAAGGTCGGGCATGAGGCTAGCAACCCCATCCTGTAAAATAAACACTGCTACAGAAACTTCAAGCCACTAGCTTGAAGCCCTATGTTCCACAGGGGAAAGTGAAGGAAAAAAAATTTTTTTTAAATACATAATAATTTTTGCTTTATTCCAAAAACAGTACTAATGATACAGCAAGGAATTTTCAGCATTCAGTACAATATTGCATCCAAATTTACTCAAAACTACAAAAAATAAACATTACACAATAATATTAGTAACAAAACGTTGTAATAGCAGCTATGTAGCAATAACAGTAGGCGATAAGGAGAAAAATATGCATAAAGTACAAAATTGTAGTGTAGTAATAATAGTAATAACAAGTGAAATAAATTAGCTAAGTTATACTTAAACGATAGAAAGGGTGACACCATAAAATTACAGAAAGATGAACGATGAAAGGGTCGATTCAATTTGCTGGTTACATAGGAACTCATATGTTTCACGTCCAACAGTGTCTCCATCACATAAAATACGGGCTAAGTAGGGTAGTTGTGAATAAAGGGGGTGCAGGGGGGCTCTGACAGTACAGTCTTTGCCCATTTTGAACAGAATTTTATATGTCTCTCGACCATAACATTGGTGAGCTCACGCGGTGGCGTACCACAAGCCCTACTCACAGCATTTAATACCCTTCGTAATATGATATAGTTTTTTTTTGAGAAGCCCAGAGCACCGCGATGGTGAGCCTCCTGGATTAGTGACTACACTGCAAACTTGACTGATAGAATTCAGTAGGCACCAGCACCAAGGACTAGACGCATAGCTAGACGGTCACTCCATAGTGTGACCAGTCAGTTTGTGTTCATTACAGCCCCAGCAGGAGATCAACTAGCAGTCTGAAGAACTCAGGGGTAGTGTACCTGACTGCACCATAGGCTCGGATCTCAAAGAGGAGACAGAGGTAATCAGCGATTATCTATCTATGCCTATGAAGGCCTCATCACTTTCCATCAAAATAAAAAAAAACACTCAAAAGCATAAATAAATTTTAAAAAACTCACGTGTAACGTTTCAGTATAATATTGTACATTACTAGATATATGAGCTAAAATACACGGTTGTATTTGATTGCCACTAACTGCTTCACGTAATAAATATGTCAATGAGGAATCATTGAATGGCAACTGTCGTCTACCGGTTAACAAAGCCAAGAGAACACAACCGATACCAGAGAGGGAGAGAGCTTTTGATGTCGTACAGTTTTCAGCGCTTTGACCAGGAGACGATGGCGATGATGATGATGATGATACAGGTGGAGATCCTGTTGCTTCCGCCATTGTTACTGCTGCAGAAGATGACGATGACGATGAATTTGTATGCTTGTTTGAACTGATCAAATGTTGTCCATATCTTCCACAACCCAAATCAAGGAAATGCAGTTTGGTTCGACCCCCAGAAACTAGATAATAGTGATGCAAAGGAATTCGTAAAATGTCAATTTTTGGTCAAAAACTAGCACGTCAGTTAGGTAGACTTACTTTGGAAACCAGCTGGAGTGTACTCGAGAGCTATTTCGTTCCAACTTTAGGACTCTAAACAGACATACACCCATTATCTTACTGAGAGGGATCTAAGCCAAGAACTTCAGACAACGAGGATAGCTTGTTCAGTCAACTCACTCACTGCGACGTAATCTAGCGTCCCAAAAACATTACGTAACAAGGTGAGAAGAGTAATAAGGTGGAGTTTTACATCCCAAAACTTGGTGAATTAAATGAAATAAAAGGGTGGGGACAGATTTTAACCACTGAACCACCCCACACACATGCACACGCATACAAACCAGAACATACTACTGAAAAGAATACTGAGGACATTCAAGGGTTATTTTGCTTCCATTCAGACATACATCGAGAAAGATAGTTACCTATACATTGATAAGGTATCATAAACCTCACCATTACCATTATTGTCACACTAGATTCCTAGTGGAGCATAGGGCTTCATTTCCTCCCCAGACAACCTCCTTCCATGTTACCTACAGGTTCATTCCCAGCTCGTTGTTACCAATTAGTGTTTCATACGAGAGGTCAGAATAAACTAGTGAACCAGTGAGCCATTTTATGCACTCCAATTATGGAATATGTATGTATAAACATATAGATTGCAATGGCGCTAAGAATCGCGAATTAACAGAAGTTAGGATTCATAGACAATTGGATTCCAACTCAGCGGTTGAATGGTCAGTGAGCCCCCTCAGTAATCTAAAGATCCTAGATTCAATCTCCAGCAGGGTACTACTGAGGAGTCCCCAACCAGGGCGAAAAAGCTGTCTGGTACTTCCTACTGACCTTCAAAGAATCTCTAACCGATAAAAATCCGTGATAAAACCTATCCGTTGCCTGCAAACTAACCCTGGGATGTATTATTAAGTGTTGACTTGCAGGGATTATATTGGCTGCAGGAGCGACCATGAGCTGATATTGGTTAGAAAGCCGCTGGAAAACCAACTGGGAGTACTGTACAGCTGTTTTGTCCAAGTTTCGGGCTCTTTATAACTGTGCACCCACCAAGGTTCAAATCCGAACTAGAATTAAACAGCCATCCAGTACTCAAAGCTTTGTCAGTGGTTCTCCCTCTAACTGATGTCTGTTCGTGATCACTCCTGTAACTAAATCAAATCTCCCCAAACCAACAGCTAATAATTAATCTGATGCTCACTAGCGACTGGCCCTATATAGGAAGTATGTACAGTTCTAGTGAGTAGTCATCACTGATAGTGGAGTCCACCAAGTTAGACAAGGGGATAGTTGCTCACTGATGACACTGACTGGAGGTTGCGCCAAATATATATATATACACATATATATCACGAATTGGCAGACGTTGGAATTCGTGGACTATTGGGTCGAGTCCCAATGAATTTATGCTCACTTCATAACCAGAAGGTCCTAGGGTGGAAGCATGGAGGCGGGTAGATACTGATGAAGAGTCGAATGGTTCTCTCTCACATATATTTTTATATTAAAATGAAACTACTCATAAGTAGGCAAAGTTAAAACATGAAAAAATTGGGTCACCAGCTTACTTGTCATTTCATCATGATTATTTTCTAATTTACATTGATATAAATGGATTGTGAATAGCATATGTGATAAACCAGACAATTGGTCACACGTGTGTACTGAACGGTTTGACAGGGCTGTGTCCAATAGGTAAGCTGCTTTTTCAGCACTCGACGCACGTAACTCACATAAGTGTGATAACCTGTCAATCATTTTAGCTGATACTGATTGACTTTTGTCATAATATTTTGTATTCGGTGTAGTAGAAGTAGTTCCTGAAGATGTCGTCATCACTGAAGACTTTTTATCACATGAAGAAGGTTTATTCTGATCTGTAGATGTTTGTAAATAATGACTTGGTGATTGATCTGAGTATTCTTCATCACCTAGAAAGTAGAAAGAGATTGAGATTTTTAGAAAATGCACGATGCAATACATATATTACTTATGTGTTGGTATAAGTAGTTAGACGCCAATCTCAAACGTCAAACAATAATTTCCCACAGTGATCTAAACATTTCACAGGTCAAACTCATCAATGACTCATCTCAGAAAGGCGAATTAATTTGAACTATGCGACTCAGGCGAACTGAAAATGCTAACTATACAGTTCAAGATTCAATCTGGTACACCGATGATGACCTCTGCACAGAAACGAGGGACACTGGCTCCTTTTGTTTAAATCACTATGATCTATCTAGGAAAGACAACGAGTTGGTGTGAGTAGGATACAAGTACTTATGGTAATGGGTCAGTCGTCTATGGCATCACACATTTGTCCTTGCTTTCTTGTGATTGCCACTTGTGATATCACAAGCAGATCACATGCATTGTGATCAATCAGCTACAGATCAGGTTGACTCAAATTTTGAGGATTTCTAGCATATTGCGGTTCATGAAGCTAAATGATACTATTCAGTATGACCGGTGGCATAGTATGTGCTGATGAAGGTTAAAATAACCGTTCAAAAACGTTCAAGTCGCCGAAGAAAATGTTTCTTATACCATTGGTTGTACAATCGCATTTTTCTCTATTCTGAAACTTGTAGCAGTTTATTTCTTAGTTAAAGGAATGTGTGTGTTAGTCATCAGATGATAAGCAAGTTGGTTGACTATCCACTTGATATGTATTCAGAAGGCAAGAGAGACACTAGAAATTTGCACAAAAGGAATATGTGCTAGTAGATAGGAGTTTCAGACTGCGGTAGAATTCCAGGTTGAATTAACCTTTATCTAATCATGTGAGCCCCAAAGAATTAAATCTTGGTTTTCTCGGTGAAATGCCACAAGGAATTATCAATCACCTTCACAGAATATTTTCAACTGGATTAAGAAGTCAATGAGAACACAAAATAATTTTACATTTCAATTTATACTACTGACTATTGATTAAGTAGCGCGATTAACTCACAAAAATGTTTTAAAGGGTTGTATAAAACAGACAAGACAAAACAATGTATACTTCAGATAAAAACTATAAAAAAACTAAAAGTTTAGTATGTTGAAATGTGACATATTTTTTTAACTGTACTGTCAAGCAAATCTTACTCTCTGTTCCACTTAAGAGGATCAGAGAATCCAGATATTTTCATCTTCAAACGACATTGGAGTCTTGAATGAAACAGAACGTGGTGTCTGAACTGTACTGTATTTGTGTATTTCTATATTCTTATGGTACTTCACTCAGCTTAATACATCCTATTACATATGGAAATGTAATGTTTTGACACCATTAGTTAAGGAGGTGGGTGCGTGGATTCAGGAGCAGTTTGGTCAATAAGTTAACGTGTGGGTCAGACTTCATTTCAAGCTTTGAAGTAACAGTCAGTAGTGGTGAGGTGGATTCGCTAGTCTCTCATACATATTCCCCTCTATTCCGGGGTTACTAACAGTTAGCGAACCAGGCGAAGTTTCGGACCGGATCACGTACGTGTTTGGTGAGCCTACTACCATTAACCCAGCCATGCACCAACTACGGGAGGTGTCAATAAACCACACAGGTACAAGTGTTGGAAATTGTTGCTCCTCATGAAGTCTGTCGTTCCTGAAAGAGCGCTAAGATTCCGATCCATAAATTACCATTCCATCGACTAGTTTGTTCAGAACTTAAAAACCACTTCAAAACGCCAATTTGTATACTATCCATACTAAACACGTATGACCAAATATGTACCCAGAAATCCACAACTAGCTTGACCCAGTCATGGTGAAGATTCCTAGATTTTTAGATATAAAACTAGACTAATACACTATTATCATCAACAGCTGCCTTCGCTCAATACTTCTCTCAAGACCAGATGGCCAGAAAAGATCAGCAACAGGGATCTCTGGGAACAAACCTACTAGGAACCGATTGTGCAACAAATAAGCAGGAAGAAATGAAGGTGGACTGGCTGGTCACACTCTGAGGAAACCATCAAGTGTCATCACTAGACAAGCCATTGCTCGAGTGGAACCCGAAAGGGAGGCGGCGAGTTGTTCATCAGTGCAAGGGTGACTTGGAGGAGATCATGTGAAGAGGAGATGAAAACGTGTTGGCAGACATGGAGCCAGGTGAAAACTTTAGCAGAGAACCGAACGCAATGGAGACGTGCAGCTGAAGCCCTATGTTCCTCTAGGAATTAAAGGAAATAATAATAATACACTATTAACAACTGAAAGAAAATAACGGCGCTTTGCTAAACTTACACGATGCAGCTGTATTCGCCAACAAATCACGAAATTCTTCATTCAATCCAAAGATTTCAACAGCTGATATTCTTATAGAAAATCGTGTATTGTAATAATATTTTTGATAATTCAATAGCTGGTATAACCAACTTATAGCATATGGGATAATACCACATTCCATTGAAGAGTAGTCATAACCAAGCATTGAATGAGTTTTACCTTTAGAAGAAGAAAAGAGAAGAGAAGAGAAAAATTCGTCAGCTGGATACTCTCTTAACGTACAGGGATATAAAATTATGATAAAATGCACTTGAACGGTTCAATTACATTACAATTAAATGAACAATTATTTAGTTTTCAAGTACTGGATTTCTGTAGGGATTCAGTTTGATTGGTTGGATGAGGATTTCATCATGAGTTGACATCATTTAGTGGGTTCTAGTGACAAGCCGTGACCAATAGGGTACAGCAGGTCGAAGGCGAGAACAGTTACTCATCGAAGAAGACATTGTTAAGTGGTCATGCTATGTCATGAATTGGCAGAGGTTAGAATTTATGGCCTGGCCATTGGATCGGGTCCCAGTGGCTCAATGGTCTACGAGCTAGCTCACCTTGTAACCAGAAGGTCCTGGGTTCTAGCTTTGGCGGTGGGTGCGTACTGATGAAGAGTCTCAAACTAGGCTGACGAAATGGCTTTTCAGTACTCCCTGCAGGTTTTCTATTGGTTCTCTAACTGATGTCAGCTCATGATGAAATCCTCCAACCAATTATTTAGTTATCAGTGAGTGAAAGGACCTGAATATACACAGAATTGTGAATTAAATAATCTTGATAATAGTGCTAACAATAATAAAAATAACGTTAAAATGAGATAAGATAATGGTAATGACAAAAGGTAGCTTTAAATGAATCAGAAATAGTAATAATAAGAGGGAGAATAAAGTATGAATGATATTAGTAATAATAACCCCTAATAAGTAAAACATATTACCATCACGGAATAAAAGACGCACTGGATACAGAACTCCGACCAGAACAAGCTGGATTCAGGAAAGGCAAATCATGTTCTGACCAAATTGCAACTCTACGCATCATCATCACAGAACAAAGCATGGAATGGCAATCAAATCTCTACCTCAACTTTATAGACTTTGAGAAGGCCTTCGACAGCGTTGACCGCGAAGTAATTTGGAAACTACTCGAGTACTACGGTGTACCCCAAATATTCATCGACCTTATTCAACAGCTGTACGACAACGGCACATGTCAAGTGATCTACAACGGAAAACTCAGCGAGGCGTTTGGAGTAAACACAGGAGTCAGACAAGGCTGCTAGCCTATTATCACCAATGATATTCCTAATTGTGGTGGACTGGATTATGCGTCAGACAGTGGGAAACGAGGAGACAGGGATATCCTGGACCGACGTGAAGAACCTAGAAGACCTGGATTTCGCGCGTGGATGATTTATGTTTGATGTCACACAAAATCGAAGACTTACAAGCGAAAACCGACAAACTGGTCGAAGAAGCAGCCGGAGAAGACAGGACTCCAGGTGAACATAGACAAGACGGAGGTTATGAAAATAACCAACCAACCAACAACAACAACAGCAACATCCAGTGCCAATCACCATCAACGGGAGGGATTTGAAAGAGCTTACTTCATTCACTTATCTAGGGAGCATTGTTTCAACTACAGGAGGAACGGACGAGAACCGGGAAGGCGAGAAACACATTCATCAAGCTGAAACCAATCTGGAAATCTTCGGCACTTTGACCTCAGCTGTGTTTCAACCGCCTAGCCAAATTTCTTCATTATGCTAGTAGACAATCGCCTTACCGTATGTACGACTTGTGTATTTGCTTCCACAAATACAATCAAAGTAGTACAATCTACGCAGACGTACATAAACACTTCATAGCATGTTATAAAAACCAAGGAACTTCACATTGCGACCAAATTAGTGAAATTCTTAACTTTGTAGTCAGTGCCTAGTCTCAACTCTCCACTGAGAATCACACTTGTTGTTTAGAAGATCGATGATACTATCGAAATCTTCAAGACTGTATTAAGTCGGATCATTTCGTTGATAGTAACACGACGATGCTTCCTTCGATTTCTAAGATAGCCTTTGATCAAGAGTACGAAAGAGGCCTCAGATATTCTTTACTTTCAGTCAATAGATTACAGATTTCATTGATATTCAACCTATTATGATCTCGAGAAGACTCTTTTCGGCGGCAAATTCATTTTCCTCTTCAGCCGTACAATCCCAAATACATATATATGTGTTATTTTGTATGTATGTGTACATTGAGTTTGTCAAACAAAAATATAACTGGTTATGGTTATTTTGACTAAAGCAGGGCGGGGAGGTGGGTTAAGAATTAGTCCAATATCGGTCCATTAAAGCCGAGCATCAACAAATTATGACTGTATAAACGATACGTAGATGAAATATTCATTATTTGTGATAACAGTAATGACCCCAGTCTACCTCTGCAGACATTTAACTGTTGCCATCCAGCAATAAAATTCACTCTTGAAGTGGAAAACGAATCAAAAATTCCTTTTTTTGATGTGGAACTAACAAGACGAACTGAAGGAACCTAGGGAAGATCGATCCATAGAAAACCTACTTGGAATGGTCAACTAACAAGCTTCTATAGCTGGGTAACCATTCAGTAAAAGCGGAATTTAATTAAATAAGTTGCCTCCTGCATCCGACGCATCTGCAGTCCCGACGCTCTGGAAACAGAACTAGATATTCTAAGAGAAATCTTCATCCAAAATGGATACCAAATAAGATTCGTTGACAAAAATATCAAAACAAGAATTTGGAGAAATGAAACACTTCACTTGCTCCGGAAAAGAAACTCTACATGAACTTGGATTTCAAAGGAGATTTAACAAATGATATTCTCAAGAGAAGGATCATATCATCTCTGAGAAGAACATTCTTTGCAGCAACGCTAAGAATAGTGTTCTCCACTCGCCCACTGATCTTCAGAAGCCTCAAGGACAAGATCCTGCTTCCGACCACTTCTATGTGCATATATCAGTTCACTTGCTGCTGTGTGGTCAGCCAGGTGAATTGGTCGTTTGACGCGTATTTTGTCCAAGAGGATTCAAGAACACTATCCAGCATGGTTGCGAAAAGGCAATAGTGGTGCTATAAGGAGTGTGATAATTGAACATCTGGTTAACACAATGATCATTCTATCTCAACAAGCGCCTACTGCTTCAAAGTAATCTACACAGTCAAGAACAACCTACCAAAGACAATACGGTTTCATCTTCTATGTATCGCTGAAACTCCAACCATTCATACAGAAAAACTGGAGCTGTACATACAAAAGAGAATTACTCAACCACTTCTATTATCATGGTAACAACTTTGTTTGCCTGTTTCTTTAGTTGCATATAATTCTTGTATTCACATAGAATTCTTACGTAATTTCGTATTCCCTACTTTGTTCCTATGTTTGTATCCTGAGTAAAACTCACTCATTAAACTATTCATATTATTATATAACTTCTTTTTAATAACTGTTTGTGACAACTCATCACCTTTGTTACTACCTTAATTTCATTAACACCTAATTCTCTTGACTGATTGTGTATTAAGTAACTCCAACTACCAATCTTCACCTGTTTAGGCAAAATAACCATAACCAATTGTATTTTTGTTTGACAAACTTTATGTACACATACATACAAAATAACCGGCAAAGTTAAACTTTAAGCACCACTAACTACCAATCATCGAATGACCTCAGACGCACCAGTCAAGTGAAGGAGGCAGTTTTGTGTATGGAATCCAAAAGTGTTACACAGGATACCATTCTCTCACATTTGGTGAAAATAGCTCTCACTTTTAGGTTGGAGTATCAAAAGAGTATAATCACATTGTGGGTAAAATTTATTTTGATAAAGTTTCAGAGTGTTATACAGTAATATTTTCTGAGCAGTAAATTGTGCTTGAAACGTCGTCATCAGTAAACAATACTGTATAACACTGTGAGACTTTATCAAATTAAATTTTACTCACAATGGCATTATACCCTCCCACAGTGCACAAATTCTATTCTTATATCAACAGAGAAATTTAACCACATTCTATGCATGTAATTAAATTTTAATTTTAAATTTTATTATTATAGCTTGATTCCACACAGTACTTTTGGTACAGGTATGGAATTTTCAGAATGTGATATCGGTAGCCCAAATTTATCAGGCTAACCATTGATATCAGGTGTGCGTCGGCCGTGGGTCGAACCCCGGACCATGTGCATGGTCGGTGAGCGTCCACGAACTATAACCCTAATCTTTCCTGAACCTAACCCTAACATGCGAAAATCTCTAAACTAACTGTAATCTAACTCGAACCCACCCTAACTTGTCCTTGGCTTAAAGAGTGCCTTAATCTTTCCCAAACCGTAAGCTGTAACTTACCAGATATCCCATTTAATATCATAACACTTCGTTGAGGATATTTTATTGATGACAACATTATTTGCCAGGTTTCACTAATTAACTTGCTCGGTGAGCGTTTCAAAGTCATTGGTGCGACCGCACTCCATTGGTAGTTAGTGGCGCTTAAAGTTTAACTTGCCCACATAACCTCTATATGTATATATTTGCGATTGTACAGCTACAGAGGAAAATGAATTCGCCGCCACCGAAAAGAGACTCTTCGATGAACTACGTGTTTTGTTTTCATCATTAATGCCTGGATGAGGATTATTCATGAATCTTGAGAAGTATTGATTAAATTTGTTTAGAAAGTAAAAAAAACTTACCATATTGGAGAAGACAAACAGAGAACCAAAGGTACTTACTTACCAGTAGCTTTATGTCCTATAGTCAGTATACAACTATCCTTTCCATTCAGTACAGATGCCATTGCATCCTTGAGAACGATAGAGCATAATTCAGGCTGTAATTGACAAGAAAATTAAATAAATAAATAAATAAATAAAGGGTAGGTGGATGACATAACATAAAGTATAAAACTACTCACACTGAAACGGTAGAAGACGAGAGACTTGGTAAAGGAATGCTTTAAGCAGTTGGTCACGGAGTGATATCAGTTAGAGAACCATTAGAAACCAACAATGGAGTACTGGACAGCCAGGTGTTTCATCCTAGTTTGGGAATCATAGGCAGTACACACCCCACTGCCAGGGTTCGAACCCAGAACCTTGCAGTTACAATGGCAAACTCGTATGCCATTCAGCCACTGGGACCCAATCCAGTGGCTAGCCCATGAATTCTAACTTCTACCATTTCGTGATGCATTTAGCGCGACCCCAACCAATGTCATCAGTGGGGCATCCATCCTCACACGTGACATCTGGATGGACCTCACTGGTCACTGCTTCTCACTAGAACTCCAAGAAACTCTGTCCTGTAACAAGTCACTAGCGAGCGTCAAATTAATTTTCTATAGTTTGGTTTGTAAGGGTTAGTTATGTTTTTACGAGTTGATCAAGGATTGACATCAGTTAGAAAACCATTGAAAACCAGTGAGTACTGCCAGACAGCTGTTTCATCCTAGTTTTGGGTCTGTCTTACCTTTCCTATCCTAGTTTTGAGATCTTCATCCACGCCGTCCGCCTGTAATTGAAACTACGGTGCGTAGATAAGCGAAGGAAGCGACCTCCTTCAAAATTCTCCTGTTGATAGTCATTGATGTTTGTTGTTGGTTGGTTGGTTGTCCTCATCACCCCACCGTCTTTTCGGTATTCACTTGTGTTGTGCTTTTTTTCCAACATACTATATAATACTTAAATATATGTTTGTAAGTAGCAAATACTGTAAACTGCTGCTAACTTTAGTTTTTGCATGTCTCTGGTTGAATATCAATGTAATCGGATAACCAGTTTGAACACTCTTCAACTTATCTGCTGTTCCAGTTGATTCTCGCCTCACTTAGGTGATATTGAGCATGATAACAGAGATACTGCCCAAGGAAAATATTGATTTACATCCTCCTGGAGAGACTAAAAGAAACTCTGAATAGAAAACTCTGTCCGAGTCTAGATGGAATCGGGAAGAACGAATCATGTGCGGATGAAAATTCAACACTATGCATCAAATTCATCATCATCTAACAGAGCCCACAGTGGCAGTCAAATCCCCATCTCAACTTCATCAATTTTAAAAAAGCCTTCGACACCGCTGACTGTGAAATAATTTGGAAACTATTTCTACACTACGGGGTGTAAGGCCCACATTTTTATCAATCTCACTTAGCAGCTGGCTATTTGACAGTGTCAAGTGATCCACAACGGGAAGCTAAACGAGGAGTTCGAAGTGAATACAGGAGTAAGACAAGGCTGTCTGCCTGCTGTCACTTATAACATCCCTGATTGTGGTAGACGTGGTCATGTAGCAGGTAATGGGGAGCTAGAAAACAGACAGACGTTAAACAGAAGATAAGACTCTAAAAGATATTGACTTCATGAACGATGCATTTCTAATGTCACCGAAATTCAAAGAACTACATACATCTAACCTCTCTGATTGGTAGATTTCAGTTTGCTGACATCAGAGCCAATCAAAACTGACAAATGACTTTATTGATTGTTGAAAAAGATGGCGCGCAATAAAAAAATTCAAATTTCATATAAAAATTAATATTTATGCAAGACAAAAGGAAAGGAACTAACTTTCAATGTATCCTGTGTTATAATATTATCAAATTTATACATTTTTGAATGTCCACCATTTCTTCGACGTGATGGTGTTGGATCCAGTAATGTGATTGTCTTATGATATTGATCAATTTCTACACAGCTGGTTGACGATGATGAAGAAGAAGGCGGGGAGAGGGAATTTCTATCGACTTTTGGATGAATTGTACTCAATGGATGATTAGTTGGCAAGAGGCCACCAACTGTTTTCAGCGCTGTAGAGGCGACCATTGCCAAGCCTTGACTACTACTGTTGTTGCATGTTTGATTTACGCAGATAATTACTTTGACCTTGAAAAAGTAAGGGAAAAAAATCAATGATTTATATTAAATTAATAGCCAAATGAGATTTTTGTGTACTAACAACGTGATACATACTACTAATTGAGTGGTATGAGTAGTTGGAAAGTCATTCAGGTGAAACAGTATCTCCTGCTAATCTGATCAGAGCCGTTTCTGGCCAGGCTCAGGCCCAGGAGGAGAATCTATTTAATACGGCAAACTGGTAATACATAAGATTATAATTAGCAATTTAGGAAAAAACACCAGATTGAAAGAAGAAATATGCGTTCCGTCACTTCAAGTAGTTCCTCACCACCGACTGGCTGGCGCTACACTAATATATAGCCCTTTAAGTCAAAGTTTTCCCCATTCAAGTGGTTATTTTACTCAATCTGTTTTAGGTATAGGGAGGGGAGGGGATTGAAATTAAGAGGTTAAAAGTCATCAAAACATCAATTAACTAATAGATGTTAGTAACAAGATGTCTAAGTTTTAAAAGAGGGGTGAAAATCAATTAATTACGGAATTCAAGATGGGTTGATTCTTAGGCGTTAGCAGCAACAAGTTATTATATAATCAAGAAATCTGTAAAATAGCAGTGATGACTCAGAAGAATTACGCAAAATATAAAAAAGTTAGTAGAATTAGCTTGAACTGTAAAAATTAACAAATTAATATATGTGTAAAACTTGGACACTGTGGTAGTAAGTAATTCCATATTAGTTTGTTTATTAGGTATATCACACAGTGAAACAGTATTATTTACTGGATGACGTTTCGAACAAAATTTATTGTTCATAATCATATCAATTGTGATCACACGACTTTGACACTTGAGTTTTATGGTTTTCTTTGTTTTCTCTTATTTGTCGTCGTTGGGGAAGTAGAATTTTCCAGATGTCCAACTGGAGAGGTATTAAATCATTCCTATTACATGTATTTGCAGTCGATTCGATAAGCATGCATGTCATATATGCTCAAGACAACACCAACAATAAGGAATCTAAATCATCAGTAGTAATTCCATACAAGGAAGGAACCTCGGAAACCACCTTACGCAGAATTCTTAACAATATAGGTAGGAATAAAAGTGACTTGCATTTTTAAACCAACAAACTCAATTAGAAACAAGTTTTGTCGGTTAAAGGATCAATCCTGTTGAGCCAATAAAACAAAACAATTTAGTTTATCTAATACACTGCCTGCAATGAATGTCAGATCAAATATATAGGTCAGACTAGTAGAACGGAGTCAGTCAGACTAGCCGAACATAAAATCCCATCAAAATCTGGATTCAAGTGTTGGTTTGTAGGGATCTGGTTGATTGGTTACAGGATTTTCATCATCAGCTGACATTAGTTAGAGAACCATTGGAAGACCTGGGAGTACTGGACAGCTGTTTCGTCCTAGTTTGGGACTCCTCATCAGTACGCACCCACCGGGATTCGAACCCAGGACCTTCTGGTTACAAGGTGAGCTCGTATACCATTAAGCCACTGGGACCCGATCCAATGGTCCATGAATTCTAACTTCTGCCAATTCACGACATAGCGCGACCCCTAGCCAATGTCTTCGGCGAGTATTTGTCCTCACGCCCGACCTGCTGCACCCTACTGGTCACGACTTCTCACTAGAACCCCAGGCAACTACCTACCTGGATTAGTTGACCCGAATAAGATAAGAAATCTAGAGAATAGTTCAGCTATAGCACTACATGCAGTTACACACAACCATACAATAGGATGGGATAGGATAAGATGACAGTTTGTTTTATAATCTAATGTAGCAACAGGGTGGAGGGAGAGATTGATGTAAATGGAAGCTTTGTTTATCGAATCAACTGCAAATACATGTAATAGGAATGATTCATCACTTATCCCCGATATCTGGAAAATTCTACTACCCATAAGACAAACAGGAGAGAACAAAGAAAACCATAAAACTCAAGTGTCAAAGTCGTGTGATCACAATTGATATGATTATGAACAATAAATTTTGTTCGAAACGTCATCCAGTAAATAATACTGTTTCACTGTGTGATATACCTAATAAACAAACTAATATGGAAAAATTAACAAAGTCAAAAGACAGTTAAAAGAGGAGGGGAAAAACTCGTTTTTAAAAATTTAATACATATTATATAGTTGGTCATGGCAAAGACAGGGGCTGTACAAATGTCTTTTGAATGCACACACAGATTTCGCTTGTTCAGATGAATTTCGATTGCCTCTGTTGTATGTATGTAAAAGTCGTACTAGTAGACCATGCGAGTTGTATTGGGTGAAATACGACAAATTGCTTTAAAAGCTTTGTTAGAGTGAACTTGATGTCCAGCCAGTATCGACGACATGAGCTAGTATTGAGCTATGTACAGCAGCTTCATTAGGACACTTGCCGAACCAAGATGGGAGGTATTCAGAGATTTAACGAAGATCAACCTGCCTGATCGCACGCCCTATGTAACTAGCTCCTCCTCACGGGCAGTTAAACTGGTAAATTCACATGGAAGAGGCGAAACAGAGCAGTCTGTCTTTATTTCTTGAACTGAATATTGCAATTTGCAAAATTACAAAGTTTTAAGTGAGAATTAAAAAAAAAACCAAAATTATTCGGATCAAGGTATGTGTAATCCTTGAAAAAGGATAATTAAAATCAATAAATTATACTAATTATCAACAGAATGAGGTTTTTTTTATAATAGTGTGACGATTCAGTCTCAACATCATACGTTCGGCCGTTGAATGGAAACTGGATGAGAAACAAGAAGTCGAGAGTCGGCTAGAGAGTGACAAGGAGAATATCATTGTTGACTGGAAATAAAAGTCTGTCAATAGTCGTGGAGCTAACTGAAAGCGATGCAATGTATTAATAATTGGATGACGTTTCGAGCATAATTTACTGCTCACTATCATGTCTAAGTGTATTTATACAACCCTGTTAAGTTAAGTAATCTCAGTAAACTTTCGATGGGATATGGTAAAACTATTGGACCATTATTAGTTGCAGAGAGGGAATTTGATTGCCGAATCTTTCTTCAATGAGTCAATACCAGATACATCCTCCATATATTGAAAATTAGCTATTAATATTTACTGAAACTGATGAGTTCGAGACAGGACGAAACCTCCCAGCCATCTCCCAGGATTTCAGTACTCACTTCTATTGATTAAGTATAAATGAATATTATATATAAGGCTAACATTGGGGAAACTTCATAACAATGGTAACACTAAGAAGAGAGAGAGAACTTATGGTACCATTCAAGACATTATATGTTCAGCTGCTTGTGTAGACTCTTCGATAATGTCTGAGGATTTAACTGGAAGTAATTTCGTGGGAATACTGTTACTCAGTCACACTGAGGAATGCTGACAACTCCTCACAAATAAGACGAAATGCATGTTGTCCTGGCTTCCATTGCTAGTCATTATCATCCACCAGAAATCGTCAACGTATCCGCCAACATGTCTGTCGACAGAGGCTGAGCACTTCGGTCTAATCACAGTCAACGGAAATGTCCAAAATGAGTTCAATAATCAAATTTAAACTGCTTACGTAATGTTTATAATTATTTAGTTTTTGATTTCATGATCAATTTTACGAAGGGAGTCAATTAAATTTACTAGAAGTTTTGACTTTTTTCACTATGTCCCACTTAAAAAAACAACTTTCAAAGGAATCGATCAATTTTTTTCTGGTCCCACTGTTTGCAAAAAAAGATAAACAGCTCATCCATGCAAGTCACACATATACACACACACGTAATAATAATGTTAATAATAATAATAAATATTAACTACGATTTCACTAGTCATTAGTATTATTCCCTTGAGTTCCGAGTGGAATATGGCGCTGGCTTCAACAACACGTCTTCACTTTGTCCTATCTTCTGTTGTCCTCTTCAGATTGGACCACGGTTGCCCACAATCTCTCTTACCTCTTCCAACTCACTCAATCTCCTCCGCATCACCCTAGGACAACCCATCTCCATTTTCTCCCACATATCTTTTGAGCAATCGGCTCTTGCTTGTTGGTTTGTTCCCACAGTTTCTTGTTAGTTATCCTTTCTGGCCATTTGATCTTGAGTATGGAGCGAAGACAGCTGTTGATCAAAGTCTGCAACCTGTTGGAAATCCTTTCCGTGACACCAACATAGAAGGATTGACCTGACATTGGTGTTTAGAATACCAATCTTGTTCCTTATGCTGATTGCAGAAGATTTCCAAATTGGTTTCAGTTGATGAAGGCGTATCTTGCCTTTGCGATTCCGCCTGCTCACTTTGACATGTTCATCCGTGCCATTCGCCTGTGGCACCTCTGTTAAATCTCTCCCCTTGATGGTAATTGGTGCTGGTTGTTGTTGTTGCAGTTGGTTGGTTGTCTTCACCTCCGTCTTCTCTATGTTCACTTGGAGTCCTGTCTTCGTCGCCAGCCTCTTCTGCCAGTTTGTTGACTTTCACCTGTAAGTTTTCGAGTTTATGTGACATTAGATATACATCAATCGCCCAACAAATATGCAGGAGAAAGTGGAGATGGATTGGACACTCGCTGAGTAGGCCGCTGGGTGATATCGCACGTCAGGCCAACGCTCGAGTGGAACCCGAAAGGGAAGCGACGAGTGGGACGTCAGTGCTAGGGTGACATGGAGGAGATCGTGTGAAGAGGAGTTGAAACAGTATGGAATAACATGGATGCGGGTGAAAAGTACGGAAGAAGACAGAAGCAAGTGGAGACGTGCAGTTGAAGCCCTATGTTCCACTAGGAACCCAAGGGAACAGTAATAATAATAAGATATATATCATCTGCGAAATCTAGATCCTCTGAAGCCTTCTCATCGGTGGTTCAGCGTACTCCTATCTCCTCGATTTCACTAATCAATATTTACAAATCGAAACAACCGCCCCACAAATATGCTTAATTAAACACTGAACAATAAGCGTATATTGAAAATATTGAACGCATTGAACTGCAAATAATATTATTGATAAATAGTTGATTCTATTTATTAC